ACGGCTGCTGAAGGTCGAACATGCAAAAAAAGAAAAAGTGAAATAGGAAAAAAAAAAAAACATCGCTTGAGGGACGAATGCTCAGCATCTTTTTTTTAATAGCAAAGGCAGAGTGACATTGTGCCTCTCCCTTTGTTTTATTGTTTTTTAAAACATTTAAAACATTTTTACGTTTAATAGTAATGTTTGAAGAATTATTTTTATTATGTTTAATTAATTATATTTACTTAAATTAATCTTATTTCTTTCTGTTCAGAATAACCCTTTATGTATTATTTAATGTTTTATTTACGGTTCTGTTGACAAAGTATGTTTTTTTATTTGTCATTAATGAAATACATTGATATATATATATATATATATATATATATATATATATATATATATATATATATATATATATAACCACATTTTTTCAACAGAAACGTAAATAAAAACATTAAATAACTAATAAAAACATTAAATAATACATAAAGGGTTATTATTTTATAAATATAAAATCCTTTTTCATTTAATTTTTAAACTAATCCTCACAGTATGGCACTAAATTGACCGTTAGAGAAACAAAAGCATCGCAGTACTTGAGCCTAAATTTCAGACAAAGTATTAACAAAAGCTGTTTTAACATCCATTTTAGGATATATTATTATTATTATTATTATTATTATTATTATTATTGCTTATTTTTAGCTTGATCGAATTAGATATCAATAATATAATTACATTTATTTTTAAATCTAATTTGTCATTTATAAACGTTTCACATGATGTGAGATTGCTCTACTTTTACGTTTCAGCGTATAGATTCACCGTAAATTCACTTTGCGAACTGCTTTGACAAAAACAAACATACACAAATATATTCAATATTTTTAAGATATTTTGACGAAAAGCAAACAATCTACGAGAAATATTATAAAAAAGCAACTCAAATTTTGTAAGAACATGTGCAGCAATATTTCTGCCACAAGAGTGAATAACGGTGGCTATATTCCGACAAAATGAATAAACAAACAAATGCATAATAATAATAATAATAATAATAATAATAATAATAATAGAAATAAACGCTGTAGAGAAACAATGTAAAAATAAATCAGATAAGACCTGACTGACAGACTAGGCTACATCATCAGTGGCAGTTTTCATTCTTCTCTTTTTCCCGCCTTCCTCCTTTCCCCAAAGTCCTCTCTGCGCGCGGAATTCATATCGACAGCCTGAATAAAACAATTCATTAATCCAACACTTTATCTATGAGCGTCACACTCGAGTCTCGGGATGCTCTGCTTTCTTCTCAAACCCTCAACACCTTCCTCTCAGGCCGCATGACGCGGTGACGTATCGGAGGTGCTGCGCGTCCGCCTCAGCGCTTTTCCTCCTCACCGTCTCACCGTCCGCCGGATCGGCCGAGGAGGCGCCAGCTCCTCCCGAGGGAGCGCCAGAGTCAAGGACTGCAGCGCGCGCTGCACAATACAGTAATTCAATATGCTCTGAATTCAACCTAATTACAGGAGAAAGCACAACAGGCTGGGGGAGGGGGGCGGGGGCTTGACAGGCTCATCAGCGTTATCCACATCTTTCACTCACTCACTGACACACACACACACACACACACACACATGCGAGGGGCGAGCAGTTCCCTTCACAGACACACAGAAGGAAATGCAGGAGATAGAGGATGGGTGACGAATAGGACTAGAGGAGGAGGAGTGAGGAGGAACACAGACTTTCGGACATGCAAAACATCAGACTGTCTCTTTCTGGAGGATTACTGGTAGTAAATAGTGATTAACGGCTGCTAATGACTGTTGTCGGGTGTTTTATACAATGAGAAAATAGCTTCAATTAAAATATGGCAATAAACGGTGTCACTAAACAGAACACTTTCACTATTAACCTTCATATAAGCCACAGTGGCACAGCACTTAAACAGTAAACTAAATAGACAGCATTCATTAATACTACTACTGCTACTATTACCACCACTACTACTACTACTACTACTAATAATAATAATAATAATAATAGCAATAATAATAATAATAATAATAATAATAATAATAATAATAATTAACTATTAAATTGGTATTGCTGCCATTAATGATAACGACAGTAGCCTAAAACCGTTAGGAAGATTCAATATGAATCTAATACTTATGATGTTATGTTTATGTATATTTAGTGTGTTGTATGTTATGTATATTTTAAAACGTAGTGTACTGTATTAAATATGATATAGTATTTTAATAGATTATATATACAACAATGATCATTAATAAAAAAATCTAAGAGTATCACTCATGCTGATCACCATTACTATAATTGCGAATAATAATATAAGTAATAATAATAATAATAATAATAATAATAATAATAATAATAATAAGTAGCATTGAAGAGCTATTAAAAGCTATATAATTCATGAAGATGTTATAGGCAGGTTATTGATGTTTTATTGTGTTATTGGTATCAGTATTATTACTGTTGGTGGTGGAAATAATAATAATAATAATAATAATAATAATAATAATAGTAATAATAACTCCTTATATTTTTGTTGTAAGATTTCAATAAACATCAAAACTAATAATCCACGTATTATAGTCTTTCTGTTTGAAATATGTAGGTTCATTCAGTTTTATTTTTGACAGCGTGGTCGATGGAGCTGGGGGGGGGCGGCTGCTCCTCATATTCAGAGTGTTCGGAGCAAAGTGAGCCAGCAGGTGTCCGGCTGTATCATTCTAACAGCGCTGGAGGTTAGTGTTGCGCAGTTCAGTTCTTGAGCACTTCGCCATGCGGATTCATCGCAGCCTTTACGCGGCGTTGTAATCGGCATTCGTCCGTGTCGCCTTCTTCTCTGACCTGAACCTCCCGCTCCGAGAAAACAACACAGCGCCTACATGTCTCTGAAAGCCGGCTGAGGGCGGCGGGTCACTGAACGAAGGCAAGAAAACTATGACAAATTCGCATTGTCTCTGCTTTGCCCACACTTTATTACACAGACGAGCCTCAGCGCCTGGAGATAACGATTCATCACCAGACTCTCTACACACCACTAGCCGGCCAAGACACGGCCTGCGGGCGGCCGGCTGAGGGCTTTATATGGAGCTTTTGGGGGTACGCTGAAGGGGAGTGGTGCTGCATATTTATGGAGAAAATCGTGCTAATAGAGAGGGCGCTCAAACAAGCAGCTCTGTTAACTAAGAACGCAGCCGCTCAGACAGCCAGGCCTGTCATGAAGACTTCTGAGGGAGGTTACTGAGCCTGGTTACGGCATTAACATCTCAAAAAGGCCTGTAACATCACTCACATCCAAAACAATTCCGATTCGTGCATCGCTCGGCTTCATGTGTAAACAGGGCAGTAATTAGTTAGATTTTAGAATAGACTGTTCAGAGCGCGTCGCCTAATGAAATGAAACAAGTTAGGTAGGCGCGAATTGTCAGTTTCAATAATGCGAGCGCTCCTTAGTATTCAAAATAATTGCAACATAAACGAATTAGTCGATACCATTTGCCTCCCCGAGAAAAAATGGATTGTATTTAGCATCCACTGATGTCGAAAACATCTCCAGAACGTGGTGCACAGTTCTGCTGAAATTGAATTCAAGTCAATAACAGAGCAAGAGAGGAACGCGGCTTAAACAGGCTCGAGCTCCTTTTTCTGCTTTTCATTTAGTCAGATAATAATTGAGTTAAAACATAGCACGCAGGAGGGAAGTGGCTGCTGAAAGAGTGTTAATAATAATTGTGAAGGGAGTTAGGTGTTCAGTTACGCACGGGCCTGGGTGCGGGGCCTATAAGCCTACACGTGAAGCAGGTTCAGGTAAACAGCATGGTGACTTGAACCAGTCATGGGATGACAAGATCAAAGACATGAGATAATTCTGGTATGAATCAATGTTCATAATGGAGGACACAACTGACCAAACCTTTTGCAGTGAAGATCCTCCCATCCTCCAAACTAATGCTAATGCTGGAACAGGGACATGTAGACGCATAATAATAATCTCAATCAAGAGGAAGACTGTAGGCAAGCGTACGTGTTGTACACGAGGCCTGGCCTGCTATACACAAAATCAAAATATGGCTCAGTGTTGATAAAAGCCCAGCCTCAGATGTCCCCCCATTCTGTCTTACTGAGGATCCAACATGTTCTCCTCCTATTGAGACACACAGGAACGCTTATTATTGATATAGCCTAGAATTCACAAAATTGATTTTTATGCTTCCCCCTAGCCAGTTTGTGCTGCGGAGAAATATTTTTATTCGCGCGAAAGCTGAAATAAGTGCGTAATAAAACGATGATATATTAAATTCGTTTCCCCCGTGTTGAGGTTTTATTATGCGTCATTTTTCATTTTTATTGAATTGAAAGCGGAGGATCCTCCGCGTTGCTTGAGGCGCAGAAAGGTTAAATTATTTGTGCCAATCAGCCCGTGCATCACTGAAGGCCACAGAGGCTGCGCTACAGCCTTAGCCTTCACTTTACAGCCCATGGGCCAGCACATAGATCAGCGCAATCCACTTTCCTTTGATTTAACCGTCGCGTGCCAAGCGCAAAGGTTTCCCATATTTTAATGATTTCTTTATAGCAGCGCTTTAACCTCACTGTCAAAATTAGCTTTATTGATTAACCTTTATTTTCGGTCTTTGCTGTCACATTTAGTGCACACTTGTTTATGTACATAAGCATATAGAGCTCACCCATTCACGAAGAACACGTGCTCCTTTTTTTGTATATCTGAAATATAACAATAATTAACCGTTATTTTTACCATTCTGTGTCGTATTGTCGCTACAGTCCAATTCGTTATTGAATGGAGAACGTGTTTAAAAAAAAAACCTTCACACTGGGAAAAAAATCCGTAGCGGCCCCTTTAAGAGAAGGGCGCGGGCGGCCGAGCTGTGCGGGAGCCAATGAGCTGGCGCGCGAGGCAGTTTGGGCAGGAGGCGAGTCTCACCTGCAGAAAATCACTTCAGGAGGCGCGAGAACAGGACAGTCCTGCTTTCCGCAATTAACACGCGCAGACACAGCGAGCAGTTCACTTTAGACGTGCAGGCCGTGCTGAAGTGGCCATGCGCCTCGCCGCTGTGGTGCTGCGCAACACGCCGCCAGGTTTCTTCACGCCAACTTAGCAACTCATCACACGGATTTAACGGTCGGTGAAGAGTCCGGGGTTTTTCTCTCTTTTTTCAGGTGCTAACGAGGTTTTGAAAGCCGCTTCAGACGACATGCAAGAAGGTGGTGGATAATGTCAGCTGCACAGCTCGTCCTGGGTGTCTGACGGACGCTATGGATTTGCTCTGATTGCTGATTTCCTTTCCGATACGGCGTCGAATGGCTGCGACTCCCACTTCGAGGGCTGCGAACACTCCGCGGAAAACTGCCTGCTAGTCTACAGTGAGGATTTAACTGGAAGGCTGAAGGAGAGGAGTAAACAAACAAACAAACAAACACAAGAACAGCTCTGCGCTCGTGTTGCGCTGTATGGACAGAGAGCCGCGACCATGGAGCACACGGGCATCGAAGAGGTGAACCAAACGCACCAGCAGCACGAGCCCATCAGCTTCGGGATCGACCAGATCCTGAACAACACGGAGCAGCCGAGCAGCTGCATGGTGCCGAGTAGAGCCAGCGAGCCGGACTATCCGCTGGCCTCCGGCGTGTACGCCAACGGCTACAACGGCGTGTATAGCCCGGCCTGCTCCATGGCGCCGGGCCTGGCGGGCTCCTATAACGTCAACATGAACATGAACGTGAGCATGAACATGAACGTGAACGTGAGCTCGGGGAACGCAGGGGGAGTTATCCGCGTGCCCGCGCACAGGCCCATGCCCCCCGTGCACCATCAGCCACCCGCCGCCCATCCAGCGAGCATCGCGGCCGGACTGCCCACAGTGCCCACGGTGCCCAGCATGGGCAGCCCGTCCAGCTTCACCTTTCCCTGGATGGAGAGTAGCAGGAGGTTCGCCAAGGACAGACTCACTGGTGAGGGTTTGTTTTACTGAATTATTTATTTTTTCTTTTGAGGTCATGCTACACAAAGTGTGGTGTACACAGCAGAGAGGTGGAGGGAGTAATTCACACGAGTCTTGCAGAATTAAACAATGTGAGCGGATAACAGCACATTAAAATAAACATAATGACACTATAATAACGCAGTAATAAGTGTAACAACAAAGACAACAGTACAGGACAGCAATACTTATAATAATTCTAATGCTGCTACTGCTACTACCAATAATAATAATAATAATAATAATAATAATAATGACAATAGAAGTAGTAGCAGTGGTATTATTATTATTATTATTATTATTATTATTATTATTATATAACCTAACAATAATAGAATATTAATAATAATAGACAAAATAGGGGAAAAATAAATAAATTCATACAGGTTTCAAAAAATGGAAAAAGTGTAACTTGTGCCCAAATAATCGTTCTGAATGCACTTATAGTTATATTTAAGAAAACGATTATTATCCCATTCTGTCTGTTTCATGTAATTAAAGCGCTCATTTGATTTCACAGCACAACCTGTTCTGTTTAATTTTTGTCATTTTTTCTGTTTAAAAATACTGAACAGCACTTTGCCCACTTTCATAAACGTTAATGTTCTTATTCTGTTCCTCCATTTAAAATGGCCTTTGCTCAAAATCGGAGCATCCTTTTCCCTGTGACTTTTACCTGATTATCTGCATGGTGGTTGATGAGTTGTAGCCTGGAGCGGTCAGTATTTCACTCTGTCTGAATTAGGCCTGCTGCGCTGGCAGATTTTGCTCTGCAGATTATCTGCAGATTTATTTAAATATCGCGCTGATTAGCTGAAATGTTTCAGTACACACGGTTTACACTCCAGCTGAATTAGCCTAACCGGCTATAAGCACATAGACGACTGATAAGAGCAAAGGACGTTTGTTTTTTCTGAAAGAATAAATTAAAAATACAGTCAGAAACAGTGTTATAGTGCACAGTGACACTGCCTAGTAACAGGATATTTATAATGCGTTTATAATGCATTATATCAGACTCATCATACTGTAAATAATAAAATGAGAAAATCAAATCTCAGGTTCATTTTGATGGAGATGATATTTAATTACATCGTGCACTTTTCGTTTACATTACTTTTAAATTACCTATTTGTCCGGCCATCTTAACTCGATTATTAATCTGCCTAAATATTGCATAGCAAGATTTATAACTGATGTAAACGAGATACCAATGAAGAATTAGTAGCTTTGCCTCGGGTTTTAAGAACAACATTGAAACACAGGTTTCGATTTCTAAAGACGAGGCTACCAGCAGTGGAAATAAAACAGTAATGATAAGAATAATTGTTTATGAATATATGCTGATTAGAAATAACAGTGAAACTAAATACACCAGGATTAGAACATTTACAATAGAGCTAAAAGTAATTTGTATCTCTTTAGTGGGCCACAGTCTGCATTCGGCCAGCACGACTTCACCTCAGCAATGACGTCACCCATATTAAGATGAACATGGAGAGCAATATGGATTTCTCCACATTAAATATTCACAAAGCCGCTCTATTCTCATTCATTATTAAAATGAGAGAATGATATGTCAACTGGAAAAGCTCTTTTGTAAATATGCTTATCAATTTTACTCATAGTCACTTTGGGCCACTCGTTTAATATGTTTTATCTTGGCCGTGTGTTTGAATGGCTCTGCAGTTGCGCAATGGCACTTTGGCTTTTATCTCGACTGCGGTGTGTTGTGGAAAATGTTTTCTACAAGTTAATCATATAGTTTTGATTATTGTTATTATTAGCTGATTATTGTTTTTGAGGCTTGTAGATTTCTCATTTAGTCCTTTTTTTTTGTAATTGGTCACTACTAGGCTTCTCAGTCAGCCTATAAACACAACGACGTTTATATGTGGATTTCAAAACGTGGGGATTCTTAAAGGTTGATATAAGCGAGGCACATTCAGACCCAATGATACTTTCTTTCTTTCTATCTTTCTTTTTGTCTTTGTAAAAGAACTGCAGTAATACATTAAGAAACTATGTGATTATTGTAGTGCTGAATAATACTTTTATAAAAATGTATATCAGTTTCTTTTCAGTGTAATATTCTAATAATCTGGCCCTGTCTTATAGTCTGTAGACCTAATACTTCTGCCATATGCACACACACACACACACACACACGCATATGTATGTGTGTGTGTGTATATATATATATATATATATATATATATATATATATATGTATATATATATGCATATACATTAAAAATGTGTGTTCATTGATGGCGGAGAGGTGTATAGGAGATACAGGGCGTTGTTAGGGCAAAATAGTCCATAGAGAAAACATAATTTTTCAGATTTCTGAATATTGTACCATCATCAACACTACATATAAAAACTCATTAGACACATTTTGGTTCATATCATATATATATTATTTTAGAATATTCCTACAGATCTACAGATCTTTCCTTTGCCATCCAATCAGTCTCCAATTAAACCACACCTAGAGGGTGTTTTTCAGGATGCCAGAACTTGGTAGACCGTTTGTGTGTTTTCAGCAATGTGTTCTCCATCTGCTCCAGTCTCACGTCTGCATTTCCCATCAGGTGTTAGAGTAAAGGCCTGCAGTCTGAGACCTCATATTCACCACAGTCCAGTCATACCATCCCGGTCTGTGGAGGCTGAAACGCAACACCGCGCGCCTTTTTTGTTAATTGACTCCCCGGCAGTTTGCGAGTTTATTATGGCGTAGAAATGCATAAACAGATCAGTCTCTTTCCAGCCAATAAACAGAGGTGGTCTTAACCTCACAGCGTCCTTTATTCTTTCAGCCGTCGTTTACCGCACGGTGTTAACAGCCTAGATCATCAGATGAGCTTTAAACATCTTTAAAATAGACTCAGCACGAAAATGCGCAGTGCGAGGGGGCCAAGCATTCACACCGTAGCCACCTGCGCTATCACTTTCCGCTTTGTTCATACGCATCGGTTCTCCTCGCCACATTTCCATCAGCGGGCCCGGTGAATGTCTCTGTACTGATGGCCCCGTGGCTCTGGAGGCTGCAGCGCGGAGAGCGGAGGCGATATCCGTAAGCAGATAGCGCGGCGAGGGAGGAACAGGAGGGGAAATGAAATTGCATGTGGACGGCGCTCCGTCTGAAACGACAATAATAATCTTCCTCAGCCATAAATACAAATGCTGGTGAAGGGGAGAGCAGGCCGTGTAGTCATGGTGACACCGTCTGTAACGGGAGAAACGCTCAGCGCTCGCGGACGCTTTATGCTTCTTCCCCTCCCTGACAATTATTTTATTTGATTCGATATTTCAATTCCCTAGTCTGGGGGAAAATTTAAAAGCGCATTCTGTTTTGCCTCACCGAGCATAAATAGCGACAAATGCCCATGTTATATTTCAATATCCCCCCTCCGTTGGATCCATTATATGTATATTTATTAAATTGCTACAAAGGTAATATTCGCAGCGGGGAAGGCAGCCACTGTCGCATGAAGGTGGTATCATGTATAAATGATTTTATTGCTGTCCGCATATTCTCTGAGGCAGGGGCTGATTTTTTGATGTGCCCACGCTAAATTATATTACAGCGACATGTGATTTAGAACTGTCCCTGCTGGCTCGGGCGGAAAGGGCTCCAGTGAGGGCTTCTTGGTGACCTGATAGCAAGTCTTTGCCACCCAGACTTAAATTTTGGTAAAAATGGCTCCAGGTTTTGGAATTATGTTCAGATCAAACACATTAAGTTTAAAGGGGAATTCCATCGATTTTTTTTAAATGTCGTAAATGTGAACGCAAAATCACTCAGAGCGGATTGATGTGAAATGCGCTGCTCTAGATAAACATACCAGAATTGTTCACAGCGGTGGTGACAGGAACCAGACACCCAAAGCGTTGAATGCCTGAAAAGCTCCCTCACAGAAAGATATATATATATATATATATATATAATTTTTATTCATTTATGGCGGAGAGGTACACGCAGGGCGTTGTTAGGCAAAATAGTCCTTTTTTGACTATTTTACCATCATCAACATTACATATAAAATATATGAAGGCTCATGTAGATTCACTCCTCATTTTAAATACTAATTTAAATGGCTATATTTTTGTTGACCCCTGGTTCTTATCACCACCACTGTCAAAAAATCAGAGTGAGTAAGTTTCTCTACGTCAAACCACTCTGAATGACTTTGTTTTCATGTCAGTGTTTGAATTATGGATACATTTTGAAAAATCGGTGGAATTCAGCATTAAGATTAAAAAGTTTTATTTTTGAATGATCAAACTGCTTTTTATTATTTTTTTTTTGCTGACTATTTTTATATACTGTTTTCTGCACAAATTTAACCTTCCCTCAGTATAATAACACAGTACTCTCATTCTATTACGCACAGATTTACATTATAGGATTGATTGTATACTCTAACGTTTCTTAAAGAGTTGTTCAGAAAAGCAATGGTTATATAAATAGACCCGTAACAACTTAAAGAACCTCCTGAATGCATAAATTGTTCTTTGTTCTTCTCTGTGATGGAAGACCTGTTGTATATGGTTCCTTAAGGAACATTTAAAAATGGTTCTATATAGCATTTTATACAGTGCAGGTTCTGCTATTATGTTATAACGTTTTGTTTTATTTTGAGTGCTACACATAACTCTGTTTGCTAAAAGTACAGAATAAATATTACAGCGTTAAGATATTAAGTTAAGTTATCACCTTCCTTTGTGTTCTGCTGTTTATCAAAATTTGTTTGCTGTTTTCTGTTGTCTACTTTTGCAGACTGTTGCTGTTTTCAGTTCAGCCTCAGCTGCTACAGCACTATCATCTGAGTCCTCCTTCAGCCTAATAAGGCATTACTCTCATATCAGATTGATTATGTCATGACCTTGACAGCCTGTCACTCAAGCTCAATGCTTTAATTAAAAGCAATCAGGCGCAATTATGCACAGGAATGAAGAGACTGTGTCTTTAATCACATCACAGGCCTGTTGGCTTGCCTTTCCATTAAGGTGGACAGTGAACTAATGAGGACACTGTAATATTCTGATGGAAGTAAATGCGCAGTCGAGATGCACTAGTAGGCGCCAGTGAATAATGCAATTAAAGAAAGAATGATTTCATTCTTGTTTGCTTGTCTCTTTAGATTTAGAAAGAAGGCCAGATAGAAAATAAGTGGACACCTGACTCAATTTCTCATTATAACCAAAACAGATCCAATGTCTGCCCTCATGTCCTTCTCCTTAGTGTGACCAGCATTAACATGTGAAAGATCCCTGGCTGCCTAAAGGGGCGTGCATGCTGAACTTGTGTTACACAGGAGCGTGTCTGAATGCAGAGGATCCTTTAGTGTATCCATGAAAAGACTTTTACAGAAGTCCAACACGGTATTATTTGTACACTGGCTTGCCAGTGGGACCAAACCAGACACTCTATCTCTTTCCACATGGGCAACTCGCACTTTCAGGTCAGCTGGACTCAAGTTACTAAACCTTTGAGCTTTGTTTCAGGATGAAGGTCATCGTCTTGGTTTGTTCAAAAGATATTTCTCATTTTCACGCTACATCTGGATATGTCAGTTAGCGATATTAAATGGGCTCACGATATGGTTAACCTGTTGTTGCAGTCTCAGCAGGCTCCTCTGCAGATGTTTTGTTGAATGGTTGGATTCTGGTGTCAGATGTGGCAGTATATTTGAATGCTGTAAATCTGCTTCATGGAAATGCAATCAGTAGACAATTTTGTTCACTAATTTGAATAGGCAGTTTTCTCACATTGCTCCTGCATTGTAGGAAATTGTACAGAATCTATCACATCTTACTTTCACTTTTCTTTTAGAATAGATAATTCAGGAATTTGAAAGGGTACATGCAGAGTAAACACCATGTAGTCCGTCTGTACTGGGGAACAGTTTAACATATTGGAACATGTTTTGATGTGGATAGAGATATTATAAAAGTAAGCCATTATGGTAGATTACCAAGAACGTCAGTGGTTCTTGTCTGTTATGGTTTAAGGGAAAAGCTTTAAAAATTGCTACAGAACTTTTACATTATGTGAAGGTTCTTTAAACGTTAAGTATGTCTATCACCATTTCACCTTTTACAAAAATCACAAATGACTCTTCTAGAGATACAGGCCACAGAACTGTACACAAAGTCTTTGGTTCCTGAGAAAATTATATTTAAAATCTATTCAAGTGGACAGAAGGCATTTATTTGCTCAGAAAAACCCTCGTTTTTAGAATTAATACAATAACATTGTTACTATAAGTGGTGATTTTATTTCAACATGTTAGTTTAACCATTTCCAGACCTCTCCTCAAGGAAGCCCAGTATTATTTGTAGTTATCAACCAACACCTTGTTTGGCTTGTCAGTCCTTCATTAAATTAAATCAGCTGTGCAGGAGATGGAATTTAAAAATCCATATGATGGCTGGAGCACACAGAGAAGTCAGGAACCAAACCGGCAGTCTTTTAACTAGCTCACAAGATATCAACTACTCTTTCGAAAACATGGAATTTATGTTGCTTCTAGCTGTATTTGTAGTCTTTTTGTATTTATACTAGTGTTACAACATGTTTTTACTGGCAAAATGGTTTTAAACAGTTTAAGACTTTTGTACAGCACTGTATATGTTTATCAGCCACGACAAATTAATTAGTCTTCATTCCAAATAAGCATGTGATATTGTTTTACAATTTGTAAATAAATATTATTGCCTATTGTTTTTATATGACTGTTTAGGCCATTTAAAGGCCAGTTTTTCAAAAATTCAGCATAATTCAGCCATTGATATGTAAATAATGTGGTTTGATGTGAAACGGTTTACTATAAAAAATGCCAACTCAAAGTTTTTTGCAATGGTAGTGATAGAAATCAGGAGTCACAATGTCTATTATGCAAATACAGCCATTTTATTTCTTATCTGAAATGACCAGAGAACCTGCACATATTTTCTGATCTTTATATGTAATGTTATTAAGCATAAAAGTGGTAAATCTGAAAAAAAATCTTTGGATACTTTATTCATTTATTTATTTATTTATTTATGTATTTAGCCTGCATAAACCTCCCTGCCAAAAATATGTTTTAGGCCAAAAGCTTATTTCAAAACTATTGTAAAACAATGTCTCAGACATCAGGCAGCATGTTAGTAACATTTTCTTGTAATAACTTGAGGGAGCTGCTTTTTGTGCCGTTAAATGCTTTTGGGCATCTGGTTCCTATCACCACCACTGTGAACAATTCTCAGTAAATTTCTCTAGAAATGTTTCACATCAAACCACCTTGAATGACTTCGTTTAGAATTTAACCATTTAATAATGTAGGAATTAAAGTGGAATTCTCCTTTAATATGATTTGTTTTCACCAAATCAGCAGTAATTTGTATTTGCCTAAAATGATCATATCATATTAGTGCACAGGTAAGAAGAACAGCCTTTTCTTTGCATAGGTTCGCCCCCCCCCCCCCCCCCCCCCACCAAACCCACACACATACACATAACATGCATGCACATTGACACACATGCAGAATGGTGTGAACAAGACTCCAGGCTGAGATGTACTTAAGCTCATATCAGTTACCTCTATTGCTCCAGTGAGCAGCACTGACTGTGTGTGCTCCATCAGCCTTTAGCAGAGCAGACCTGCTCACGCCTGGTGATCTGCTGAAGTATCTGCAGAGCCTCACAGCCTCATGTGAGGGGAACACAGACTAGGCCCCCCCTCCAGCTCCACAAAGCTATTAGCTGAGTACCATTAGAAATAGCCTGACCAAAAATGCTAATGTGGCTAACAGTGAACTGAAGCCGACCACTGAATAACATGATGTCATTTACATTAAGGCTAATTGGTGTCTGTTCATTTTCATTTATTGTTAGCAACATTAGTGCCTTTATGTGAAACTTGCTTCTTCCTAGTGGAGAATTTTGGGTGCTACAATAGCAGAAGGTACAAAATAATGCCACACAATTACTAGAAATGCCATATCAGTGTTGATGGGTATTGGTATCAGGCTAATATCAGCAGAAATGCTAGATTGGATATCGAAGGCAAAACTGGAACAAATCTGATCCAATCCTATAATAAACCTAGCCTGAAATAGTACACACACTGTGTGATGGGATGTTGTTAGCTGTGTGTTTCTTCCTGTGGGGTGTTTGAGTAGTTTCAGTACGATAGTCTGCCTTTAGATGCTCATCTTAAGTGAAGTGCTTCATGTTTAACAGTTATTAAAGGAGGAATGTCTGCCCAGTTTTGGCTGATACCCAAAATTTCAATATACATATCAGAAAAGAAAAAAATGGCATTGTGCTATTAATTAATATTAATTAATAATTACACATACTACACATATTTAAACACACAATGTAGAGCAGAGCTGCCAAAAGTGTGGCCTATGGGCCAAAGCTGAGCCCGTGAGGACATTTGATTTGGCCCTCAAGAGAAGTATTTCGTAACAAGATCAAACATTCTTAAACTTTGTTGATCTTTTTTTATTTGTATATTATTTTGTCTTGCCAAAAAATCAAAAGACACCAGTGACCACTTAAAACATCTGCGATAGACCTCTTTATCCTTTTGTCAAATGCTTAAGGGGTAGATTTAATTTTATATTTTGAAACTGCCAATAACTTAAGTGCTCAAGCTTAAACATAGGCTGTAAAACTCAATTTACAATTAAGATTTTTTTTCACTTTTATGTGAGCATTTCTTTGAAGATAAAGAAGGTAGTTCACTTACGTTAAGACCACAATTTGTTTAAAAATTCACTTAAGATGGTTTATATAACAACTGCAAAAAAAATGCAACATATTAACCTAAAGTAAGTTCCCTGCTTAACATTAAAACTTGGAGATCATTGATCATAATAAGTTAACAGAGGAATAATCTGTTTTTTTACGCTTGTTAACATACAACTAATTAGTAACTTCACTCATATTGTGCAGGTTTTCTATAATATTAGTGCCAAAATGACAATATTATGCCAGGACTTTCTAATGGGGTGAATGAGGAGAGGAATATTCAGGTAAATGATTTCATATTTGTATACAAACAGGTCTTTGTTTTCAAAAAGAAAATAATATATAATAATTTGTGTTACTTTTATAAGACTTACAAACCAGGAAGGACTAAGCCAGTTGCTGTATTTGTTGTGCTTGAAAGTGAACATTACTGAAGTTACATAATATTATTACTGTATTTATGTGTTTGTTATTGGAGTGTCAGTGTGTGAAGGACTATAGCAGTTTTGTTTTTGATCTGTATGAACTCGGACTTCACTGTTAGTAAATGAATGTGTTCAGTGTCACTGTGTGAGTAATGTGATGAGGTCAGTGGTCACTCACAGGGTCTGTCTTGTTTCTGCAGCCGCGCTCTCTCCGTTCTCCGTAACGCGGCGGATCGGTCACCCGTACCAGAACCGCACGCCGCCCAAGCGGAAAAAGCCGCGCACCTCCTTCAGCCGCGTGCAGATCTGCGAGCTGGAGAAGCGCTTCCACCGGCAGAAGTATCTGGCGTCGGCGGAGCGCGCGACACTCGCAAAAGCGCTGAAGATGACGGACGCGCAGGTCAAGACCTGGTTCCAGAACAGGAGGACAAAATGGAGGTTAGAAACTCTTCTGTTCTTCAGCGCGGCTCTACTCATTACAGCAGCTTAGTGCATCAGCAGCCCAAACATAACATTGCTATCTATCTACTATCTATCTATCTATCTATCTATCTACTTATTTGTTAATATTACTAATTCAAATGTACTAACACATACTACAGACTGAAGAGTCTTTTGCCCAAAAATCTTCCCAGCATTCTTAGCAGTTTTGCTGGTTTCTGTTAATTACCTTTATTTCTCTAATTTAGGAATATAATTATCTTTGCAAAATATTATTTTTGTGTCATAGCATGATCTCCTGATGAATTCAACATAAAAGTAGAGCACTGACAGTTCAGGGGAAAACATTCATAATGATTGAGCTGTTTGAGAATGATTGAGTTAACCTGTGTGTGGACCACTGAACTTTAGAAAGTATCTATAACTCATATATAAAGTTGCTTAAGCTTAAACCTCGTACGTAACTTTATTTAATTTTTTAAGACAATAAGTTTGTATGATTTTGTAAGCAAAGTTAACAAATTTAAGTTTACAGTGTGAAGTCGAAAGACTGTAGATGTAGTGACCTCAATTCAAATCACTGTACGGTTTATTACTAGAATAAAAACAAATTTCTAGAGTATTTAGAGATATGATGACATTGTAAATTTGAATAGTAAATTTGAATTGTAAATTATAATATATGCAAATAATCTTTTCCATATCTTTGTTTTTATTTTTGTTAGAGAGTATTGGTTTTTTGCACTAAATAAAAGTGTAAATATTATGCCTCTGTTTAGTGGTTGGATATCTCTGTCTTAATGCAGGCTAGAACTAGTTTTATGGACAAGATCTGTGTGGTCTGCCTTTTAAACGAAGCTTAATTAAAGATAATGTGAAAGGAAAATATATAAATATAATACATAAACATCTATCAGTTTAAATGATTTTGAATATGTTTAAGTGGCAGTTTTCCTACAGTTTTTTTTTCTACTGAAAAGTCTCTGCATTTGTAGAGGGCTGTTCGGGTTTATAGTAATGACTGCTAATTTTATCAGCATCCGAAAACCCACTTGCTTGTCCAATATTCATAAGTACTTATAAATATTTTTTAATGGAGAAATCATGTTAGAATATACAACAGAGGTGATGTGAGGTTAGTTAGAGAACAAATGTAAAGTTTAGTTTTTTTATGTAAAAAACACAACAGATGGTTATGCAGTTTTACTTTAAATGGAATAATTATCATAAATATTTTTTTCTTCTTGTTCCATGGTTAGAATATTACACCTTGGAGATCATTAAGTCATTATATGTGATTTTGCTACATTTTACTACATCATTAAATCAGCTATGAATACATGCACACTTACTACACTGGTGTGGGTGTAAATACTACAGACTTTATGCACAGCCAGTGATCAACATCCCGGCTGTAGAGGCAACATCACAGCTAGCTTCACCAGGTGGCCTATCGCAGCTAGTGTGAGAGTTAGCATTGCTATTGGCTTGTCTTACTAAGCATTTTTGTGATGTATGTTAATATTACTGTTACATTTTTAATATTAAAAGAAATTCATAGCTTATCGCAATTATAACTTACAATCACTTTTTTCAAAAATAAGTAACTCCTACAACAGTACCAGTAGAGTAACGTTTGAATGAAGGAGCTCATAGCACTTTATTACATATAGTCCCATGCAAAGGTAAACTCTGGTGGCCCTGCACTTAATTTGCTATTAACTAACTAATAAGTTAAAGGAATGTTGTCCATTACCAGTTAATCAGCAGGGCAACTCCAAGACCCAGTGATGGTCATGAATCTGTAAATGAAATTGTCATTTCTTTGTTTACACTGTCTTTGGAATCAAACCCCTCCATGGGCTCCCCATGGTAGAAAGGCCATTCAGAGCAGCCCTGACCATACGCAGTAAAGTTGATTCACTCTAAAAATCACCAAAGTGCTGTTTTAAAATTTAATTTGATGCATGAAAACAGGCTTGCAGGACACAAATATAGCCTGTCGTGAGAACGATAAAGAACCAGAGCTTTTAGATTGCAGACATTTGTTAAAATTTGGGATCTATCAGCTTGATCTCCTGTTGGCAGTAAATGTTTGTATTTTTGCACCAAGCCAGCCCTCTAACTCAGCCAAGAGGGAGATTCATTGAAGAGGGCGTTGTGTGCCTCCTGGTAAAACAAACACTTTGGTTTTGCTTAGCTCTGCTAAATATTTTTTTTCCCCTTCATTTTCTTTGGACACCAATTTCCTTGACCAAGCAGAAGTGCCGCCGCTTTTAAAAGCTTGTGTCGAAACTTGCTTTCTAGTGCATTATGGAGCCCATAGGTCTGAATAATTGAGTGCATGTCCATCCTTTCTCTTTAATCCAATATACCTGTTGCTGTTGGCTCTTTCAGAACAAATGAGTGTGCAATCTAATTAAGGGCAGGCTTACTTACCTTGGTTTTTATCAGCGAGCTGCAGTGGGCAGGAGAGCTGCTGCTGAAGTTGATGTATTTATAATGAAGCTGAGTCATGGCCTTTAAGGAATTTAAATTGATTAAGGTCATTTTGATGTGTCAACTCAATAACATCTCCTTTTGTACTTCATTGACCCAAGAGCGGGACAAGCTGTTGGCTGCTTGAAATTAGTTGACAGTTTTTCTGAAAATATTTTGCGTCTCTTCGCTCTTCACTGGTGTTCATGAAGCATCCCACATAATTCACATTCACTGTGAAATACTTTGTTATTAATAGAACAATGACAAATACAAATACATGCAAATAAATAGAAATACAGTTGTATGCAAAGGTTTGGGCAACACTGATCAAATTATGTTGATTTTCTAAGTGAACTAAGTGAACACATCCTCTACAGATACCAAACTTATGCACATTTTAATGCACAATGACTGAGTTTAACATACTGGGGAGAAGTACAGCATAAAATGTGGCCTGTGCAAAAGTTACTGCACAATTCTAATGTCAATATGGCAGAAAATGCATTATTTGAGTTCACTGTAGAGGATGTGTTAACTTATTTTCACTTAGTAAATCAACAGAACATGTAATTTGGACAATGGTCTTCAAACTTGCATACAACTGTATAGATAAGTGAACTTTACTGGTGTAAATTCCAAAATGTAGGGCTTCTGCTTTTTTGATTCTGAAACTATCATATCCCTCTGGAAATATGAGAAGTTAAAGGACAGAAGCTCTTAATGGGGTGGACAATGTAATGATATTTTATCATTATCATGGTAAATTACATCACAATATGTTTTCCTGTGCATGTTATGGATATCGTCAGTACTTAAAGAACCCTGAACAGCTGCACAGTGCATTCCACGGAGAGCATAATTAGTCCTGTTAACTGGACTTTGTGTGAAATACTAAATAAAAATCAAACTCAGACTTTTTGATATTTTTTACTTGATAATTTATACTTTTGAAAAATGCAGCATTACTGGTTCCAACTTGTCAAATCTGAAAAAGCTAAATATCATCATACATGTCATGTATTGTGAAGATATCCTTAAGTATCATGATGGTATATTTTTGCCATATTGCTCACCCCCTTACAGAGAAGTCACATGTGAAGCATGCAAAAATACACATTAACTTGTACTTGTGAAAATGAAGGCACGTTATTATACATACGTGAAAAATAATAAGTGATGTGTGCAAAAAACACATCTTTATTCACATGTTAAATGCATGTGTTTTTCCCTGTAAGGGCCCGTAGCTGCTTACCTGATGAATTGTGTTACAGTGCCAAGGCCAAATATGCTTAGACCAAATGAGAAGCACCACAAATTTGCCTAGAGAACTATGACCTCTGTGTCTCCTCCCCATACTGGCAGGCGCTGCTGCCCTCACACTCAGCTGATAAACATTTTATATAAAATAATACTCATGTGCGTTTGAAACACTGAAAAGCTGCACATGAAATTAAGCAATTCGATAAATACAGCAAAACTAGTAATTAAGCACATATTAGTTTTGCTATATGTATCTAACCAGGTGAGAACAAAGCATGTATTTGTGTACCGTATGGGCAACAAGCCTGCCATCAGATGAGCAGTGAGCAATCACATTACAGTGATGCAGTTAGCTATAATGGGTGGTTAATGGGCGCTGGCATGGCAAGGAAGCTAAAAGGCTGGCATGGACGTTACAGTATTTTAGATCAGCAAGGCTGACCGCCTTTGACTAAGATTTACTAACAACTTATTCATGACATGCATCAATATTTACATTACATTACACTTTTCTTTGGTATCCTCTCACAGCAGGTAGTTTCTGGGAGAGACCTTCAGTTAGCTCTTTCCAGCTGTTGACAATGATCAGAAATGTTGTCAGTGTGCTCTTAACCCTGAACATGTTTTCAGTGGTCAAGTATATGGTCATACCTGGTCTGGTATAAATGAATTTCCAGTTAAAATGTTCCTATAAAAACAACCTCAAATAAGTACCAGATGGCACAGACTGCCTTCAGTACTTGTACAAACAGGATTTAAAACAAGCAAAAAAAATTATGCCACATGGTCCGTTGCAAATGCCTTCAGTACACACCTTCCATTGACTGATTCATTCATCATGGAGAGAGGACGTTTGGGTAATACTCTATAAATGGACTGCTTCTTTCTTAAATGGAGACATTATCGACTACTACAATAAGTCTACTCGTATAAACATTTCATTTTAAATAAATTTATTTTACATTTATTTCTTCAAAATCATTTTAGTTTGAAAGTTTCTAGGTGTTGGTGGTCCCTGTTTTTAATTGCGAGTATTGTCTCTACAAAAGCCATTGATAAAAAGAAACTTGCATATACCTTGTTCAAGTTCATTTAGTTTTAGCCAAGAGTTTTGCATTCTAGACTATTTATACTCCGAAATAAATTATTTTCATTAAATTTCTTTTTTTTTCAATGATATATATTGGTACGAGCGGGCTTTACACATTTATGAAACATCCATGTAATATTCTGATTAAAACCACCTTTATTAGATAAATAAAACATGTTTTCTATTATATGTCAGGTGGTACTCCTTTCAAAAACTTAAAAAAAAAACTTATAATTGTTGCAAAATGATATACAGTATTTTGGAATGAAACTTTTTAGTTATTAGCATTCTATAGTGATGGGCAATAATGTAACATCACGATACTGCACTATATTTTTATGACATATGACAAGTATCACAATATTATTATTGTTGTTTTTTTGGAAGTTTGATAATTGGAACAGACAAAAAGTGTCACTTATAAGAGCTGCTATCAAAAACTAGGAATACAAATACTATTATTGAACATTTCACATCTTGCACTGAACTAAATGCAATTAAACAGGCCTAATTCTACTTTCTTTGTAATCAAACATGCAGTTGGTCATTGTCCTTTAAGTACTGACAATATAAACATGCTCAGAAAAGCGTATTATGACATAATGTGTCATAATTTATCACAGTAACAATAATAATCAACATTTTGCCCACCCCAGCACCCCATTTTATTCAGGCAGCTAATTACATTTATATATTTTGGGTGGTTGATATGAATGTTCAGATGTAGAAATAAAACTCTCTTTTTTTTTTTACATTTTACAAATTACAAAACTTTAACTATCAGATGAGTATATGTTTATGACTTTAAAAAAAAATTAGTCTGCACACAAATTTTAAAGCTCCCAAAGGGTTTCTTGGTGCAACATTTTGGCCATTTCAGCTATCAGATGCTTTCTTCATCAAAATGTTGCACCAGTGAACAACATAGGAGCTTAATAAAAATAATATACTGACTTACCCTTTTTTCAATGTTTTGTGTTGTACACTCTACTATTTTGGGATGTGCTCACTGATCTACAATATTTTTTACTGTTTACTATATATTTCAGACATATCAGAGCTGCAGTTGAGTTATGAGGATTGTCAGCATTCAGAAACATGAAAAGCAAACCATCAAAATAGTCAAAAATCTTGAGATTTTCTCTTGACAGTGAGTCATGCTGCACTAAATGCAAAGTGACAGTATCGTCTTGTGTATTTAAACTAACCATTGCGATAAAGTTTGGTTTATTTCTTCCTTTTTTCTCTGCCCTCAGGAGACAGACGGCTGAGGAGCGAGAGGCGGAGAGGCAGCAGGCGAACCGCTTAATGCTTCAGCTCCAGCAGGAGGCTTTCCAGAAGACCCTGAGCCAACCCCTCCAGCCGGACCCTCTCTGCCTCCACAACTCGTCCCTCTACGCCCTGCAAAACTTACAGCCCTGGGCAGAGGACAACAAGGTGACCTCCGTCACCTCAGTCGCATCTGTGGTCTGACCCACGCCTGCCATTTGTGTTTGTTAATGAGAAAGGAAAAAGGATTTTATAGTCAGGGTGTAATAGGATTATGGGACAGCAGTTAGGGGGGGACATTTTGGGTGGATCTCAGCCACATTCATTTGGACTGGTTTCAAGAGCCTTTATTCTAAGCCATAAGTTTAAAAAAAAACATATTTATTTTGTGAAACTCTAGCAGAGAATCTCACCTCATGCAGTCCCGATCTTTGTGTTCTTTTCCAGTCACACACATATATATACATGGAAAGAATTTAGGCTTTATTTTCAATGATGGTGTGGATTCAGCTTCCTCTTTGTAATGAGATAATGCTGGCTGGGAAGAAATGTGGGGGAGGTCAGTGACAAATGAGTATGTTGGGCATTTCTTCATTCCCAAATGGACTGTAACAGAAAAAAAAACAAAACAAACACACTCCTTTTGCTGATAAATATTGTTGTTCCCACCTGAATCCGGTCATTTGTTTCATCCCTCACCCTCCGTTTTCACTCCTCTTCCTTCAGCTGCCTGTCTAACAGAGGGCGGGACCGCGTTGTCCCTTCCGACCCGAAACCCCGCGGAGCTGTATGATGAATTTCACCCATCAAGACGGCTGCTTGTCTACGTGCTGTTTGGCATCGGCCAGACCGACGCAGCCAGTGACTCGTTTGTTCTTGTTGTTTTGCTTTGAACTCTGTAAGATGTGTTTGTGATGCATGTTGACCGCGTCTCCTGCGCGTACACAGGGACTGAAGACTTTTGTCGGTTTTGTCCAGCTGGAGTCCTCCTTCTTCACCTGAACTTTGCAAGCAATTACGGACGCGCTCCCTATGTATTCCTTCATGACATGACATTTAAAGCCGTTTTATATTAAACATGATTGTGACTTCTAACAAAAATCATATTGCATCTTGCTTTCTTATAACACTGTGTCCCAGTCAGAACATTCATTATCTGTCCAGTCACACGTCGGAGACCAACGATACAGTTCTTTTGTAGCTGTTTCCTTTGTCAGTGCATTGTTTGTAGCTAGAAGGCTTTCAATGAGGTGGGTATAAAAACCTGATATGTCAGGGTGTTTTGTTGCTCTTGACCTATGCCCATCCAGACACTGGAGGCGTGTAAACAAGCGTTATCATCTCAGTAAAATAGAGTTGAGTCAAAACAAAAAAATGTTCTCTCTGGATGCCGCAGCACAGCACTATCAGGGTTAATCTCCAGCGCAGGGGTGTAGATGCACGGCTCTGTTCTCTGCACTAAATGAGCCTTCACACTCCTCAGTACACATGGCTGCCTCTCCCAGGAAACGCCGAAGAAGTAAACTGATTAGAGCGGTGTGTGTTGTGCAGCCCCTGGCCCCACCAGAGAATCCACAGCAGCATAAATCACGGGCTGTGGTTTGAGTTGAAAAACATGCCAGTTTTTAATTGAAATATTCACAGGACTAGACTGACCCAGCCTTCTGTTCTTCTCCTAATCTAAACTCTTCAAATTCTAGGCTTAATTTTTAGTTATTAATCTTAACTTAAGGCTCATTATCCATTAAGTACTATGAATTATGCAGTAAACTACTATGCCAGTGAAAAGCTATGTAGTTATGAGAGTGATGAAGGGTCCTAAGGGGTATAGATTCACACACAAATGGGTCTTGATACTTTTTTGTTATTAGCCTTTTTTTCAATCAGTTTTCCTTAGTTCCCATGAGAGTTGAAGCTTCTGGTCTATTTTAAAAGTCTTTTTTTGTGATTAAACATAATTTATAAGAATACTAATATATTAATGTATGCTCACTGTTAAAAGAAAACAAAGTTTTTTTTTATGTCAAGTTCCTTGAAATGCTAAAATGTGATGGGTTTTAGGAAACATATTTTGAGTCACATTTGATTCTTAAGTCACATTTGCTTCTAAGATCCAAATTCTCAGGCGTAGATTAAGCCTAAGCCTGGAATAAAAAGAACTTTTAATGGTGAGTCATCATTGGTATAACCATTTTGTCCATGCCTAGGCTTAATCTATGTCCTGGAAACTGTCCCTAAGTGTTCTTTTGTTTTCATAATGAATGATGAGCATGCACTGTAAAAAAAGGGGGTTTCAATTTAGAAAATGTAATAACATTATTTAACATCACAGTTTCTTGTTCTGTTGACTTACTGTTAGAGGCGCAATTAATTCAATACCTTTTCATCAACAACTTTAAGTTAAACAAGCTTTTTTATTTATTTATTTATTTTTACAATGTGTGTTGACCTGTTTTGACTTTCAGTGGTGACAAATCTTAACTAGTGTTGTCTTTTTTATCTCCAGACAAATGAGACATTAGACCTTGCGTCATTTGTGAAGTTTCATATTGTCAGTTACTCTTACATTGGTGAAATGTATTTAAATTCAGATATCTTTTTTTTTTTTTTAAATCCTGATAGCTGGACATATCTTTCGTCATTCTCATTGGTCATTTATAATATATTAGTTACATCAAAATAAAAAAAGCCAAAATTCCCAAAAAATAGTAAACTGAAGTGCTGCGAGTTTAACTGAAGTAAATACTAAAGTGTATTGAGTGTATTTACTAAAAATAAGTAAATACACTCAAACTATTTCTCAGAAACACCAATGACAAATGATTTCTAGCAGAATTACTTCAGGGGATTGAAAATCTGAAAGTATGTTTGTATCTACAGTCTCAGAAAAAAGGTACTGAACAGTCACTGGGGTGGTACCCTCAAGGGGACATTTTCAGTACCTTTAGTCTGGGAACATAACTGTACCATAATACATTGCAATTATATTTTTTAAGTTATATTGACTCCAAACACCCCGTCTCGTCTTCAGGCTGTTTATTTTATTGTTCTGTTTTAAACATAACGTTATGAAAAGGTACGAATATGTACTTTTCCACAGGAAAATCTTATTTAAGGTGCACAATTAGACTTTAAAACCATTGTTGTACCTTTGAGGGTACATTTACATTGTTTGTACCTTGGTGAACGAAAAATGTACCTGCACAGTACCTTCATTTCTAACACTGACACCATCTAATAAAACCAGGCTCAGTACTTTCTTTCACACCAAAACACAGGACTACCAGGTGCTGAAAACTGTGTTTTATAACGGCTGCTTAGTGCATCAAAGGCCTGTCATAACAGTGCTGCGTGTATGCAGAAACTAGACTCTCTGCAGAAGTGTTTTCATTGTTTTCAAGTACACCTGTTTTAGGGTCAGTACTTCTAGCATAATAGAAACAATGTCAGCTTTCTTAATTCCTTTTCTAAAGCATCCTATTTCCATATCACGCGAGTTCACAGTGTTATACATTGATTCAGTTTTGCAGTTGGATGCAAAGCAGCAGTCTAACTTTAGCTTTACCTCTGCTCATCGCTGGTTTAGTCAGGTTTGACGGTGGGTTAGATCCTGTCAGTATGGGCCGGTTGCCCCGGTGACACCTCCTTCACCCCTATTTCCTCTGCCAGCCCTTGAACGGCTTTCATCTCACTGTCTCTACCGCCACGCGGACGTGACTTGGCTGCTTTTGCTAAAATTCCTCTCGCCCACTGTTTTCAAAACTGGTATTGTGTTTGGCTACAGGTGCTATGAGCTTCTCCAGCGATGTGTTGTTTTTTTTTCTCTCTCTTTTTTTTTTACAGCCTACCTGAGGGCCTCCCCATTTTCCCATAAAATGTCACCACACAAGAAGCTGAAGATTTAAAGTAAGCCTGTATCACACTTCCTATCTCGCTTTATGTTTGCAGACAGACTCCTGCGTTATCGCCCGGCAAGAGTAAATCAGACCTGTTGTGCTCCTCCTAATGGGCTTCTGTGGGGTGGCTTTCATCAGGTGTTTAACCGAACGTAGCCTTGTTGACTTCATGATCTAGAGAGGCAATGAAAAACAGAAAGAATGTAAGGGCTCTGCATACACAAAAAAAAAACCCAGACAAGGCTGTCAAGGGTCAGTGAACAATGCTACAGAAAAAGATCTGGAGAAACATAAACTCAGACATAAATGTTCAGATCAAGGGCTATAGATATATATGTAAGAACACAAATGCAACAGACCACAGGCCTCAAAAGGGCCTATGCGCAATAGAATTCCTGCACTGAGATTAAATTGCTTTATATTCATCCTTAAATTCAGTGGCTGTAGTGAAATGACTCTCTTTTTGCTCTCTAGTTACATTGACTGGCATTCTGTTGTTGGCACTAAAAGAAATATCTTGTTGAGCTAAAATAAGAGTGTTTGCTGCAGTATAAGTACAACTACTCAAAACTCTTCGAGTTACACCAACTTTTCTTCTTTGACATTACATTTATGGCGTATGGCAGATATTCTTATCCAAAGTGACCTACAGTGTTAATCATGACACAGAGGTGGGTAAATGTTTGGTGTCTTGCTTAAGGACTCTTATTGGTACAGTGTGGTGTGTGTTTGCCCTGGTAACTGAACCCTAGTGTGCTGTATGGAGGGCAGCAATGTTATCCACTACACAACACAACCCCTGCACAACTACCAATAAAAAAAAAAAACACCATTAAGTCAAACAGAATATATAAATTATATAAATCATGCTCCATATGCCAAGCACACACATTCACATGATAAAGACAGGCCTGGGGAGTATTTCACAAACCAAGGTTTAGGTTTAAGAAGAAGAGATAAGAAACATTTCCATTGCGCAAAACTCAACCTTTGGCTTAAGTTATCCAGCTTATTGAGAAATTCTGCTTTGTGAAATACAGCCCAAGTGACTTCTGATGTTTGTACATTGTGGAGTTTTGAACTTTGCATGGTGAGAGGATGGTTTTCAGATTTTTCCTAAAAGGCAGATAGTTTAGAGTATATTATGCCCAGCATGATGTGTTATGTCTTACTCTGCCTTTGCAAACAATCTCCTATTAGTGTTCAAAAAAGATACATTAATCCATCTATTCTAATCTAATAATATGACATCATCACTAAAAACTCATACAGCTCTTGATAGTGGGAATATAGAGTACTAATGTTTCTTGTATGTGTAAAGCCCACTCCCCATATATATATATATATATATATATATATATTTCACTTCAATTACAGACTGTAGTCTCTGCATACTTTATTAGACCCCTTTCACTCTGTTCTTTACTGGTCAGGACCCCCCTAGGACCACCACAGGGCAGTTATTATTTGGGTGGTGGATCCTTCTCAGCACTGCAGTGACTGTGATGTGGTGTTGGTGATGTTGGTGTGTTAGTGTGTGTTGCACCGGTACAAGTGGATCAGACACAGCAGTGCTGCTGGAGTTTCTAAACACTGTGTCCACTCACTGTCCACTCTAGTAGATACTCCTACCTTGATGGTCCATCTTGTAGATGAAAAGTTAGAGACAGTAGCTCATCTGTTGCTGCACAGTTTGTGTTGGTCATCCTCTAGTCCTTCATCAGTGGTCACAGGATGCTGTTGGCTAGATATTTTTGATTGGTGTACTATTCTCAGTCCAGCAATGACACTGAGGTGTTTAAAAACTCCAGCAGCACTGCTGTGTCACCACATCACAGTCACTGCAGTGCTGAGAAGGATCCACCACCCAAATAATAACTGCCCTGTGGTGGTCCTGGGGGGTCCTGGCCATTAAAGAACAAGTTGAATAGGGGCTAACAAAGTATATATAAATACAGATCTTTGATTGAGTTGCAAATTATATTTATTTCTTTTGTCTATTTCCTTTTCTCAGTAATGGTTCCTTTACCATTGTCTTGTCACAGATCTGAAGCAATAGTGTAGCTTTTAAGTGTTTTTTCCCACTTAATTCTCATTTCTCCCTCTTTATACAGGTAGATTGTCTTCTGTCTTCTCAGGAATATCTCCTAAAAAATGACTTACTTGTACATAATGGCCATTTCAATTTTAATTGTAATAAATAAAGTAGTTTCTGAATTTTGCAATATACGACTTGTAATGTTTTTGTGCTTGGTACATTTAAGGTGAGAACATGGAACATCTCATTCTATGAGTGAACATGTCTATTGGACTTTAAAAGAAGAATCAAAACGTACATTTAATAAACCTTAATTACTGTTCTTACAGTTACTATCATTGTTAATGGAAGAGTTTATGACTCTGAGGTATTATTAGAGTAAATGCATCATCATCACCACCACTATCATCAACAATATCACCACCATCATCATCATCCTCAGGACTCCCTTTTTGTCCTTAGTAAATGCATTTCCTTTGTTTCAATAATGTGGTAATAAAGTGACACAGAATTGTTTACATCGGTTTAACTAATTCATGTTCAAATTTCCTTTGCCCAATATTTTCTCTAAGCAAAAGAAAAAAAGACGATGTTGAAATCATATAAAAGTGATTTTTGTCACTTTATTTATATTTATCATATTAATCTGGTCTTTTAAACACACTGGAGTATACATATATATATATATATATATATATATATATATATATACTCCAGTTACAATATATATAATGTAAATAAAATATAAAATGTTGTAGTTATATCTATCTATCTATATCTATATCTATATATATATATATATATATATATATATATATATATATATATACACACACACACACACACACAGCATAAAAAAACTTAATCAAGGTATAACTATAACATTTCACAAAAGGACAAACATACTGTGTCTCTTCTTATCGTACCGAATACATGTGTTGGACATGAATGGGTTAATAAATAGGCAACAACGTAGTTGTGCTCTGAATATGGTAAGAGAAATGTCATAACATGGGCAGGCGAGTACAAGTTCTCTCTCTTACACACACACACACACACACACAAACACACACACACACACACACACACTGCGACACAAATTTCCGTGATTCAAACAGGACTGTTTTGGTTGTATGTGTGTCCTTCACCTGCACAAACAGGTCTCAGGCTTTGAGTAACTCAAGCATGACAAGCTCTTTCGAATATATCACACTACCAGCATGTGTCTGAGCTAAGCTGTGTGTTTGATAGCGGTCACTCACCTTGGCTCTCTGGTCTGATGGTGTTCTGTCTCAGGATGGATATTTTTATCGCCAGCGCCAGCATGAGAGCACCACCCGCTCACAGACCTGACTAGTAAACAACGCAGTCACTGTGTTTACTCTAAGGGTTAGTCTACTGTGGTCTATTGTCTTCCGTTTTGACAAAAGATGAATATAAAGAGTGCATTTGACATTAATGACACTTATTGCCCAATGGCATACATTTACAAATTACGCAAATAAAGTACGTAAATAGTGGACCAGGCATGTTTGGAGAATAATGCACTGATCTCCTAACACTGAATTAAAAAAAAACAAAAAAAAACAAACAAAAAAAAAAACACACAAATTAGGCTACGAAACAGTGAAAGGTGTGATTTCAGCGCTTTTGTTATTTTGCGTTGTTGAGCGGGATGGAGAACCTAGAAATAGCAAAAGTAAAACACACATTCACATTTTACTTACGCCATCTAGTGGACAGTTATGATACAGCTTGTGGAATCCAAACGATACTTTTTGCCAGTCCAAAACAGGCATCCTATAATCCTAGATCATAGCAAAGACAGATTCTTCGGAACAGTATCATTTTCTTTTCTTTTGTTTTTAGATAAAAAAAATAAAAACAACAACAACAGCTATAGTAATGTACGCCTTTCTGTTTTAATGTACTGTTTTTTATCTATTGTCTATTATTTTTACATTTATTTATAACTGTTCTCCTGCGCTTCGTCAAGCTGTTATCCAAACAACTGTACACTGATGTAATCTAGTGTGATTAAACTTGTACACTACATTAAAAAATAAAATTTAGGCAATACCACAAATAAAACATGGGGGCGTGTCTTTTGCCGGAGGTGCGATCTTATTGTTCATATATGGCTCCTGTGCTGTTAACTGATTGGTTCACGTAGCCGTCAATCACAATGCGAGGAATGACGATTTCCGAGTCATTTCTGGCGCAAAAATGGCAGAGGACAGCGTCCCAGACCTTAGCAGACCCCAGATGTTTTTATTTGGTGAGCCTGTCACATGAAATATTGTATTGCATAACCATATGAGATTACTAAACATTTGCCTTCCACTATTATACGACCTGCTGATACATAGTAAGGATCGCTGGCGAGGTAACATCAGAGTTTAGCCGCGAGCTCGCAGGCTAGTTAGCCAGCTAGCTAACCAAATGTCTCTTTGTTTTTAGTCAGTTGGCCAACTAGGAAAAGCCCTGTGTGAAGTGCAGTTATTTAAGTCCCCAAATATTGTGACGCCCTATAATTATTTAACCTTTTAGGAGGCGTTCAGGGAAGTCAGGATGCAGTTTCTTTTAATACACATACTTGCTTTAGACATGATCAGGTTTGGTTGGGCTATAGCTGATAGCAAGATTGATTAGCAAGAAAGCTAAGATCTGCATTCCAGATTTCGTGACTGTGCCTTATTTTAGGGATTGTCTTTTCCACTGATGTGTTTTCCCTGTAACACAGGGTGTGTGCTGAAGTCTGATAAAAAGGAACACAAAGTCGAGGTAGACGACGATGAAGCTGACCATCAGCTGTCTCTGAAAGCGGTATTTTGACATTTATCACTTTCTAATCTTAAAGATAGCATATTTATGAACTTTATAAACAGGCAATTTGCAGCCAAGCAAGACATATGATATTATAATGTACATAATACAATATGATACAATTTTTAGTAATGTTTTCTGCTAGCGTATCTAATTAGCGTTAACTATTTCTTGCTATTTTATTGCATATTTTTACAGGCCTATTTACTTCATAGGCCATGGAAGCCATAAAGAATATGTATGGCTTGCACATCATAGGTTTAAAGAAAAACCAAGATCCAGAAATTCTGTAATTACTTCATGTTTGTTAGCTAGTGCTTTGGAGATGTCTGTAAAGTAAAAATATATGCATTTCTTTTGCTTACTTGTTATCTCAGGTATGTCTGGGAGCTGAAGCAGAGGACAATTTCCATACAGTGGAGATAGAGGGAGTGACGTACGATGGCAAGACGACCAAAATCCCTCTCGCTGTGTTGAAGCCATCTATTCTGCCTTCTGTAAGTGGTTCAGACTACTGAAATGTCAATTAAGTACGTTTTCAACAAAGCTTTATAGATTTAGGTTTGTCTGTCACTACGTAGGTAGTAATTGAGCCTATTCCTTTTGTTTGATATATATATATATATATATATATATATATATATATATACATATACACACTATACAGTAATTGGTCTTTTACTGGTAGTTCTAGAGGGGCAGAAGCAGACCCATCTATTTTCTATATGTCTCATAAGATACGTCTCTTTACCCTTTAAATATTTTTGTTTAAATTGATACTGGTCTACAAAATCATTTTTGTTTTAACTAAAAAGAAATTAGAAGAAACTCCAGACTGAAAATTCTGCTCCTGGATGAATAAAGATCATTCTGAAGTATGCCCAGAGTGCTGCTTTTGTCGGGGTGGTGATATGGCAGAAATATGTTATTTTTGACATTTTTTCATCACACAATATGCATCTTGGTGTTTAATATGTTGACACAGACTAAAAAGGGCCAGGGGATGCAATGTTTAAAAATATACTTTCCTTTAGTATCCGGTGTACGGCACAGCACTTAATACAGTTAAGCAAGGCTAATTATGCTCTTTTTGTACTGGAACATCTAGTTGGTCAGTGTTCTTTAGTTACTGTCTATATCTACAGTATGTTCATAAAATCATAGTTTTTCATGATAGCGATAAATATTGTCATAATCGCACCTCCTCTCCTGTGATTAGTGCCTGCGCATTTTCTAAACTGAAACAGCCCTACAGTGCACTATTTAACAAATGTTCAGTAGTATTTCACATAGATTTTGACATGGTCATGGTCAAAATCTAGCATGTTTGCAGTGTTTACATATTGACTGTTGAATGTCACCTCTGATGCTTTATCATATTGCTATTACACTGTAACGGTTGCTCTTCTAAGGTTTTACAAAGCCATGTCTGCTTGTTGAGATGTGCATTTTATAGACCTGGAAAAGAGTGACTCATAAAAATTCCTGCTTTGCTGAAGCTGGTCGAGTCATGATTGACAGGTTATTTTAGGGCTGGGCCAGGACAGGACAGTTGCATCATCAGGACAAAACTCTCCATGACGTCATTAATCGCACTTATTTTCAACATCGGCTACGGAAAATATCTGATCCCATAATTGGGAGGGGCGCTATGCTTTATGGTCCTGTATTAACAGAAATCAGAGTTTACATACTTGTGTGTGTGTGTGGATGGGTGTCTGGTTAGTTTGCACACAGAGCTTTTATGAATGTAATAAGAATGACATATTGAACATATTGACATATTGACCAATCTTTATTTATTTCCGGGCAAAACGGCTATTAAGTACAAGTTATTCATTTTTTTAAAAACAGAAAATATACAGTTAAAAAAAAATATTAAAGCTTCCAACATAGTGCATAATATATTTTTCAATATGGAAAGTGACAACCTATTGGCTTTATTACAGCTCTCATTTTTTTCGTGAGATATGCGTTCAGCAATATTTTTCCGTCTTATTTTTCAGTCTTAGAAGTTGGTTGTATTTTCTGCTTGTCACAATCCAATTAATCCCAGACACTTTGAGTGTTGAGGTCTAGGGTCTGGAGTGGTGAGTCCATTGTTCTGAGAGCGCCAGCAACTTCTTTGGTTGAGTTGCACATATTATCTTTTTTTTTTGTCTATTTCCTTTTCTCAGTAATGGTTCCTTTACCATTGTCTTGTCACAGATCTGAAGCAATAGTGTAGCTTTTAATTGTTTTTTTCCACTTAATTTTAATTTCTCCTTCTTTATGCAGGTGGATTATCTTTTATCTTCTCAGAAATGTCTCCTGAAAATCACTTTCTTGTACATACTGGCCGTTTTGAATTGGAATTCAATAAATGAAGGAGTTTCTGAATTTTGCAGTATATGACTTGTAAAGTTTTTGTGCTTGGTACATTTAAGGTGAGAACATGGAACATCTCATTCTATGAGTGAACATGTCTGTTGGACGTACTTTAAAGGAAGAATCAAAACTTGAATTTAATAAACCTTAATTACAAGCTTCTGTCTAACCCTCGCTCAGGAAACAGTTAGCTCCTTTGTGTTGAAACAGATATTCTGTGCTGATTTTGGATGATTGCACTGGGTGTCTTGCCATTTAATGTAATTACACAGCTGTCATATAAACATTAACCAGAACATCCTCACATGCCATCAGCTGTTTACATCCGGTTGCTATGGACGCAAATATTCATACTTGACACTGCGGAATGTTCATTCACAATCTGGCTGCGCCTCGGAATTCCAGAATTGCGCAACAATGTTCTGAGGAAAAGTTTGTTTAGCTTAAAGCCTATCTGAGAATTGCTGGTATGTTATGTTCAGAATGCACCATGTTCACTATGTTTTTTTGGGAAACGGACAGTTCTGGGTTGTAAAATTCAAGATTTAAACAGTTGCTGTTGCCATGCAGTGGTCTCTAGGACTCTTCTAGATGAATATATTATCTCACATGTATAAAAAACAATCAGTTCCTATTCTAAGGCTCTGTGTTAACTGTGTTTTAAAGTTTGTATTTATAAGATTGTCTGACATCTATTGAAACCGTTGCTATAAATATACAAATAAAAACTTATATTTTATTAATCTCACATATCTGCTTTATAGGACTGAAAATCTCTTCAAATGTTCCAGCTTGTATGAGTATTTTTGTTGTGTTTTGGTAACAAAGTCCTCTTCTGTGTGTTTTCTCTAGCTGAGTTTAGGGGGTTTTGAAGTCACTCCTCCAGTTTCATTCCGTTTGCAATCCGGCGCCGGCCCAGTGTACATAAGTGGGCAACATTTTGTTAGTAAGTTGTTGTCTCTGCACTAATTTCTTATTAGGATTTTTCATTAAACCATTTCCATGTTTATTTAATGATTTTCATGTTTAATTAACTTAATTTATCTTGATTATCTCTTGATTTCTGTATGATATTACAAAAATATGTACAATATGTTAATGAAACGTAGATCAAGTGTTAATGGAACACACTATTGCAATCTCTTCGTGACTGTCCCACACTTTCCTCCTTCATAGCTCAGCTTAAAACCTATGTCTTTTCTCAGTATTCTTCTGATGATGTAATCTCTGTTGTGCTTAGGTGTAAAGGAGTCTGATGATGAGGAAGAGGAGGAGAATAACACATCACCAGTGAAGAGACCGTCCAACATGGCTCCTGGGAAAGTACCACAGGTAAGCAAGTAGTGCTTACTACTGCCATGTTAATATCACTGTGGTTTCTGTAGTCACTCCCAGCTGAATGTAACTTTACCTCTGTAATCCTAAATCTCAAACAGATTTAAATTCTGATCTGTGCCAGAAAATAAAACTTAACAAATGAAAAAAGCCTGCTGCTGTGGAGTTGTTCACATCGTTGTGGCTACATCACTGTCAGTAGGGCTGTGCAGTATGACAATATTTGTTGTTAGCATGAATAATTATGTCACAATAAGCTTTTCTGAGTATATTTTGCATATTGACAATGCTGAAAAACACTTCACAACTGCATGTTTAATTGCAGAGAGAGCATAATTAACCCTGTTTAATTGGATTTTGTGCAGCTCTGTGTAAAATGTTGAATAAAAATGATTGGATTCATAGTTTTTTAATAGTATTTTTAGAGTTGGCACTACTTTTTCTGTTCCAACTTCTCAGATGTGAGAAAAAAATTAAGTATTGTGACATCTTGTATCATGAAAACTTAACATGATCTATCACTTCTATCACTTCGTAGTCTGAAATGCCAACACAGTCCTGGGCTTGTATTGACGAAAGCTCTCAGAGTAGGAGTGCTGATCTAGGATCAGATTCCTTTCTTACTTACTATACCTTTACTGCCAGGAACAGATCCTAGATCACCACTCCTACTCTGAGAAGTTGAGTCTTATTCCATTTTGTTTATGGTTTAGATATTATTTTTGTAATGTGATGTAGGTTAATAATCAAAGTTATGTATTTTTTGGATCATTGAGTTAATATTTAAATGTTATATGTGTTACATAAATATTACATGTTTTCTGAGCTTAAGAATTCCAAGAATCTTTTTTTGCTCCTCTTAAGGATTCAGTGTTGATTTGTTTCTCTTTGTATCTGCAGAAAAAGCTCAAAATGGACTCGGATGAAGAGGAGGAGGAGCAGGATAACAGCGAAGATGACGACGACGATGATGATGACGATGAGTGAGACTTATTTATGAATTAAACTGCACTATGATCTTAAGACCCAGTGGAATAGATCTTTTGTGGTCAATAAACATATTGGAGCATGAGAAATCCAGTTTTAATGCTTTCTGTTGTTTTATGCTTTGTAAGTGTTACTGTCCTGATCCTAACCTGAACACAATTGTGTGTTGAACCTTTTGCAAATTGATCTCTATGTTTTGTACATTTTAGTGAGGAAGAAGATGAAAAAACAGTTGCAAAGAGCCCCATGAAATCCCCAAAGAAAGTAAGTGTTTATTTTTGTTTACTCTGTCAGGAAAAAAGAGAGAGAGAGAAAGAGAAATGCATACACTGTGCCTCTTGTGCGAAAAGGAGTATTATGAGTGGCCAGTAGGTGCCAGTGTCTGCTTTGAACCACAGAGAGGGTGAGAATGTTTAAAAGAGGGGGAAAAAATGGAATCTGAGAGAGAGACACACATTCTTACCATTTCAAAACACGCCCATTACAAACTCATAATTGTTCCATTAACACACCATATTTGATCCCAACGCCCATTTGATAGCTCTCACTGCAGTGTCCAGCGTAGTACGTCATACATGTTAAATTGCACTGCAGACATTAGGAAATTTTTTCTGTTTGTTCATGTCAGATATGAGTTGAGCGTTTAAAATCACTATGGAAAATTCACTTAAATTTACAACCACTTGGACCATCGTCAGAGCTGTGTGTTTAGTGGGGTAGTGTGCTTCTGATGGGGCCCCTGCACCCATCTGTTTTTAGAGGCATGCTGTCTGGATCATAACAACAGGAGTCCTCTGTAATCTGGCTAAATGCCTATTGGCCAGCCAGACACAAGCAGCAGGTATCTGCACTTTATACTGTAAGAGGGCAAGTCACACAGCAAGGCATGAGAGTACTCAACACCACTTTTTTTCTCTTCTCTCATCTCTCGCTCTGTCCATTCTCTCTTCTTTGTTCCTTCTCTCTTGTCAGGTGCTGAAGGAGACTTGGTGACATTTGTGTTTAGACAATGTGTTTATGTAATGTCTGGGAGGTGAATTTGTGTGGCCTGTATGTGGTCCAGGTCCTGAAAAGTCTTTTTGCGAAAGCTACGTGTTTAATTTACATTTTACAGCATTTGGCAGACGCTCTTATCCAGAGCAACTTACAATTTCATCATTTTTACACAGGTAGGCGAAGGTAGTGTTAGGAGTCTTGCCCAAGGACTCTTATTGATAAAGCATAGGGTGTTTGCCCAGGCGGGGATTGAACCCCAGCCTACAGCGTGGAAGGCAGAGATGTTACCCACTACACTATACCAACCACATTTATTAACACTGAAAGGGCAAAACCATTTCTATTTTTTTCACCGAGGTTAAGGTTAGGGTTAGATTTAAGATTACAAAAAGCCTCAAGCATTTGACTGTCTTAAGTATCTGTGAAAATATGTAAAGCCTTATATCTTAAAAAGAACACTTAACAGTAGAACAAATACAGATAAACAGTACATTGTGGTTTGTGATTTTGTGTGTCAGTGAGTTAGTTTAACCATTTCCAGACCTTGAGGAAGCCCATTATTTACAGTTACCATTCAGTGCTTAGCTCAGGTAGTCAGTACTTCAGTAAATTAAATCAAGGTCTGCTGATGGAATTTAACATTCATGCAGTGACTGGAGTGCACATAGTAGTCAGAAACAAAACTTGTGGCGCTGTAACAGTACTCTTCTAACCAGCGCATTAAATTTCTCCAGAATTTATTATAATATATTTATTCTTATGTTGTATTTTACATTTGCAAAGTACTTTTTTGTATACTTAATTGCGACGAATTGCATCATATTCGCTCAAGCTCGACCCCAAAGATTTTTTCCATTTACAAGAAGTGCATTTTATTATAGTTGTATAAGTGGACAAAAGCTTCATCAGTAGGTATTCATGACAGTTAGTTATTCAGGAACATCATTTTTGTCCATATGACGTTCATATGAACTAAACATGAAAATCATGTGAACGCTGGGTGTACAAAAAACTTGAGTAAACGCAGTTTCCAGTTTTTATCGCTGATGTCCAGTGAGGGCAGCAGCGGCTGCATGTTTCAACCACTATGTTAAATCTTGTTTTAAGGGTAGTTGTAGCTTTCCTGTTTGCTATTGCCTTTGTTGGTTTGCTCCTCGTTGATTTGTTCATATTTCTTTCATGAGTCCTGTGCAGTGCCATCTGCCAAATTATTAATGTTGCCAGCATCAGCAGTGTGTTTCTTCATTGCTAAAAGATACTCAGTGTACTTATATACAAGTACATAAACAAGTGATAAACAAGTTCATTGCAATGCAGTAGCTACGAGTAGTACGAGCCATTACTGCAACTTTGAATGAGAAGACTGCAGTCACAGAGGCATTGCAACATGGAACTACAAATGGTTCTAGGGTCTAACCCATAGACTGTGTATAACAGTGGACTGGACAAGAAAAGGGGTGGGGGACGAAAAGTGCAGCCAAAAACGTCTCTGACGCCCTCTGGTGTCTGGCTGCAGTACAACTTTTAACCCTGCCCACTCCAACCAACCAAACAAAGTATATAGATCTAGTAATTGTTTTTGCCATAGGTGTTGTCACGTCTACAAGCTATTATGCCTCTAAAACATAACCCAATATTTTTTTCCACAATAGATTCATTTTAGAGAAGTTGTCTGGTGATATTTAAAAGGTTGTGGCGACGTGGTGAATGACAGCTATGTGCTGAGTTGATTGACAGCTTCATGAACGAGCAGACGCTCTTCGTTCCTCTACAGCCTGGACCACAGGCGAACACAGCACAGTGATCGTCTCTGTCTGACATCAGTATTGATAACCGTGATTGCTCATTTAGAGCATTTTGAAGCAAAGCGATTTCTGACTGGACAGTACACTGTTCTGATACATCCTCGATTGGAAGTTCTTCAAAGTTGTTTTCGGTAAGTGGCTCATTTTTATACTTAGATAACCTAGATGCTCACTAATGTTAGCCAACTAGGCAGTCAAAGTGTCAATGACACGCCCTGTTAATTTGGTTCAAGGAGTGTTTAACTTTTATTATGTGAAGTTTTCTGAAACTAGCTAGTACAAATGTAGATTAAATAAGTATTTAATATTGTATCTTGCATGAATGCATGTGTTTATTAGCTTTGGTTGCTGTTTTTGTGTAAAGTCTACTGACATTAAATAAAATAGTCAAATAAAGTCAGTTATTAGGCTAGTTAACTTTATTTAGAGATAAGACCCATATCTTGATATACATATAGATGTTGGGTAGAACAAATTTGAAAAATAAATTCTAAAACAAGATGGTACAGAAAGCTCACTTTGATTGTAGTGTTTTGTGTGTTATATATATCAGTAAACAATTGTTATAAGGATTTTTCCATAACTTTGTGATGTTTTCATTGAAGGGAAATGGTCGCCTGAAGAGCACAGCGGAACCTACCATTTATATTGTCTACATATTTGGTGATTCCAGCCATTAGGGAGGTGCAGGACTGTGGTAAGTAATGATGCAGAAGCTTGTACCACTTTACGTTTAAATGTACAGAGCATTTTATAATATTTTAATTAGGCCTAATTACAGATTACACAATTTGTGGATATGCACACTTAGCAACAAAGTATTTATTAAAGGGGTAATGAAAATGTTAAGTCAATCACAATGACTTGGTTAGAAACTCTCATTTATATTCATATATACATATAACACCACATCCCCTGGATACATTTGCTTTTTGAAAAAAATAAGTAAGGAGAAAGTCTGCATTGAAACTGAAGTACAAAAGCCATTATTTAATCAAGGAGACTTTCATTTAAGGGCAGACAGTGGCAATGTGTGTGCACAATACACACATTTGAATGTGTGAAAGCAAAGAATAGGGAAGATTACTAATGCAATATATAATTAAACGTGATGAATACGTAAAAGCAGAGGTTAACAAAGTACAACACTTAAGTAAAAGTATTCTAGCTTTATTTCTGCTTAAATAAACATACAAATGTACTTGGTTGCGGATGTACTTAAGCATCAAAAACAATAAAAAAAGAAGTATTTTTTTTAATTTTAATATGATGTACTGTTATTTTGAAGGTCAATGAGGACCTGCCTGCTTTTACTCAGATACAAAAACATGGGTCTTCCCCTGCAAAAAAGAACATTATTTATAATACAGTTGATGATGAACTAAATCTACAGTAAAACTGCAGTTCATGCAGCATTTATTAATGAGCCTCCTTTCTTACAGTTTTGTTGTGACTCTCCACTAGCAAGTTCCCGCTGTTTTTTCTGGGTAATGGCAAACATGATGATCTACATCTTGTGTTCCGGGTCCGTGCTGCTGTAGTGGATGAGCAGGACATTAAAGGCAAAGGGGAGTAGGACATGCCGCGCCTTTCCACTCCATGCCAAAGCAAGACCAGGGTTGGGGAGCTCTGGTCCTGGAGGGCCGATACCACTTGAAAGCAGCATTAGAGCAGAGAAATCATGAAATTGTGCTTGACTCACAGTTCCCTACCTCTGCATCAGACGTCTGACATCATGCGTCATTCTGTAGTCTGTCATGTCCATATCAGGGATTCTAGGCCTATGCATGATTTCTGTATGACTAAAATGAATGTGATTTTTGAAAACCAGTACCATCATGCCCTGTTGTAAACAGAAAGCTTTCAGACCCGATGTGGATGTACAGCAATGCTGTTTAAAAATTCCATTCTTTTATAGAGAAATCTAGCCTAGGCCTGGAGTTTCTAATTTGGATATTGTCCCCTACAGAATGATGACATTGCATCAGTGATCTGTGGACCTGTGCACTCAGGCCAAGGTCAAACCCCATGGTTTCCTTCACTCCGACTTTCCCATGGTGGATGTTACTGTCTCCTATGAACCAATGCTTTGGGGCTTGTCGATAACTAAATTGCGTATTAATTATATCACAGTTTTCAACAGTGTGCTTCTGGAAACAGTATGCAGGTGTATAATGTATTCAACATAAAATATATTCATCAAAAAGAGCATGTTGAATTGCCTTTGTGTATGAGATGTGTTATATAAATAAAATTGCCTTGCCTAAATATTATTTAATGAGTTAATGAAAGAGTTAATTTTTTTTTTGGTATGTCACTTCCCTTTTGTAAGACTTTTTTTTTGGGTGATAAGTAGAGTGTAATTAGGATAACACTGCTGATATTCTGAAAACCCAGTATGATTCAGACAAACTCATATCTATAGCTAAACTCCACTGTGATTTAAGATTGTTGAAACAGTTAAGAGTGTTATTTTGAGCGTATTTGTTGTGATTTTATTGAAATAAAGATAAGAGAACACATCGACTTCACAAATCATACTCAGTAAACAATAAAGTAACTCCACATGTTAGGAACATACTTTTAACTTCTTTACTGTCTTACACAAACACCACACCTCCTACAGACATATATTGCATTCATTAAATTTAAGAAGTTCAGCTACTGTATGGATTTATTCTATCAGCAGAACACCTAAGCTAGTATTGAATGGTACATACTTTGCTTGAGCCTTGGAAATGGTTAAGCCAACACACACACACATACAGTCATAATGTATTATTTATTGTTGTGTTTTTTCAAATGCCAGTGTTTTTTTTTTTGATTTAGCAAATAAATATTTATTGTGTCGATAAATGGCTTCACATATAATTTTCCTAAGACTTCAGCGAGTTTTGCCGAATAGTTGTGTGCAAAAGTTATGGCAAATTACACATTTTGTTGATTTTCTAAGTGAGAATAAATACGCATCCTCTTCAGAGAACACATTTCCTCACATTTTAATGCACAATTACTGTTTATTTGCTAAATACTGGAAAATATATTGGAATGAAAAGAAAAATGTGGCCTGTGCAAAAGTTATGGCACATTTTATTTACAATATGTTGTAAAAATGAACAAAACTTATAATTTGACTGAGGGTGTTCAAAGCTTTATGTACAACAGTGTGTGTGTATGTCTGTTTGTATGTGTGCATTTATGTGTCTTGTATGTGTAAATCAATATGTCTGTAGGAGGTGTAGTGTTTGAGTAAGACAGTAAAGGAGTTAAAAGTATGTTCCGTAATGTTGGCGAAATTGTTTTTGTGTGGGTTTCTGTGTGTGTATGCGTGTGTGTGAGGAGATCAAAGCCTTGGAAGTGCATACCAGTTTTGTGAGTGCTGATTCCTGCCCTAAGGGGGGATGACAGCTGAACACTGCTGTCACACACACTCATTTAACCCATTCTTTCTCCTTTTTCTTTCTGATACTTCCATGTTTAATCTGCCTTTCTTTCCACTTTTCTTGTCTGATTTCTCTCTTTTGGTCTAATTTTGCTTCTCTTTATGGGCTTTTTTTCCTTTTCTTTACTTGCTGTTCTCTGCTAACTGTCTTACATCTCATATTTCTCTTTTTCTCTGCGTCTTTCTTTCACCTCGTCTTCCCCCACATTGCTGAGGAGTGACAGTGTTGTGCAGACCCTCCAGGTCATGACTCGACAGGCTACACACTTCACAAATTACCGAACACTCTTATCACTCCTCACGGACAACCTCCCTATAAGGATCATAAAAAAGTGTTCGGTTACATAGATAGTGCACAAGTCTGTCAGCACTAAAGGAAATTAGGGCCTCTGTCACAAGCACTGTCCAGCAGACAATAGGCCTGACAGCTGAGGGGCTTCTTTGTTTTGAAGCAAGGGTTACTGCTAACTATTTTAACCATAACCAACAAATCTATTAACTGTTATTTGATTGTTTGACTAATCACACCATTATGCCTACTTTAGTTTTCTCTCATTTTGACCTGTCACAGCACCATCATTCAAAGTGATTTCTTATTTTTATGGTGCAACAAAACCATAGAAGACCTATTGCTTACATCATCATCTTTATTATATTACAATCTGCTGGAATTACCAAATGTATCGTAAACATTATAGCAATGTTTTTAAGGATGTCGCCTTTTTTCCGTAAACATTATTGACGTCAAAACGACTTTGTTGAATAATCATTGCAGCCCTGTCTGACTCATGTTACATGTTTTCTGCTTTTAGCACAGGAAAGAGGGATTGTGATGTGCTCTCTGTTTTTACTCAGGCTCCAGAGAAAAACAAGGGCGCAGATAAACAGAATGGCTCGCCAGGGAAAAAGGATAGCAAACCAGGGAAGCCACACAGCCAGGTAGGTGAACCAAAGTATGTGTAATAGAGAGCCATAGTACAGATTATGATGATAGTCTAGTGTCTGCTTTATCTAAAATTATCCTTAAAAGCTACATTTAAGTGCTGTTTAATGACTTAATGATGATTACATGTTAAATGAGTTTCATCAACCAACCTGTGACCATGTAACTCATCTAGCTGATCCAGTTCATTGGTTCCCAGCCCTGGTCCTGGAGTATCCCCCACCCTGCACATGTTAATGTTCTCCCTGCTCCCTGATCCAACTAATTAGCTCATTAACAAGCCCTTCCATTGTTGAATTGGAAGTGTCAGAGCAAGGAAGATACAAAAAATGTGCCGGACAGGAGATAGACCAGGACCAGGGTTGGGAACCTGTGATCTAGTCAAAAGTTCTAGAGCCCACCTCCAAGGCTCAGTTCCTCAAAATTGGACAAATACAGTTGTATTTTTTTATTACAAGTGCACTTGTTTCCTAGCAGAGATGAGGACTCGAGTCACTCGTTGACTTGACTAACGACTCGACTCAGACACACTTTACAGACTCAAACTCAGACTCAAGACTTAAGTCTTGTGAAATTTCAAACAGAGGGGGGAAAAAACAAAGCTAATTGAATAGGACCACCAATCATAATGAAGGGAAAAACTTAAAATCTTTTCCAATCTTACATGTGATTTTGCCTTTCAGTTTTACTGTGGTCATGTGCAGTGTTAGGGGTTGTCGGAATTACATTATGGGCATGGGTAATTAATGTACATATTACTTTCTTTTTCTTGTTTCTTTAATAAGTGAATTATCTGCAATAAACACTAAGGACTTCAATGACATTTCCGTCCAACTCATCCTTTTGTAAAAGGGAAAGTGCCACAGAAAAGTTAAACTCGCTCTGGCCCTAGAGCTAGTTACGGGAAAAGCGCCTCTGAGTTGTTATGACCATGGCCTGGAGGCAGAAATCTGGAGAGGTAAACAGCAGTAATTACTATAATACTGTTCTCCTCGCAGCTTGCAGCAGCATCAGGTTCAATGCGGCTATAAGTTTTTCATTACAGATACAACTTCAGTCTGAAAGACAGAACAAAGCTCTACATGTAAATGTGGTGCTTAAAGGAAAGAAGCAAAATTATCAATAGGTAAATTAGCTTTAGTGGTCATCTGATATTGCTTCAGTTTTAGTAAGCAACAGAGTACATTTTTTTTAAAGCTTACTAAAACATAAGCTGGATTAGCTATTATTGACTAGTGAACACAGTGAACATAGTTACAAACTACAGGCTAACCACACATTTCAATGTTTTGCCCCTTTATTTTAAGCACCATAGTTGCTGAGTGTAGCGCTTCAGTTCTGTCCTTCAGACTGAATGTTTTCCCATAGTGAAAGGCTTGTTTTTTAAATCTGTGTCAAACCTGACAGGTGCAGCCAAAACCAAGACTGAAAGTCTCTACTAAAGACTTGCGACTAGAGACTCCACTCAGACTCACATGAAGTGAGTTATGAACATCTGTGCTGTGTGTTAGTCAAAATGCACCAAAAGCTGTGGCTAAATGAGACTAGTAATGGTCCCCTTTGACAAACAATAACAGTATTCAGCTCTCAAACTGATTAGCGAACATCAAGCAGACCTTTCCAGGACATTGAGGTCCCAAATCCTCAGAGCTGTTATTCATGTCTATTTGTGATAGTGAGTTTAAAATAGCTAAGTATACTTTTAATAATCAGGTGTACTAGACAGAAACTGTCTTGACATTTAGGCACAAAGAGTCTTCTTTCAGTGCATGGAAAAGGCTGGAGCTATCCTGCACTGTTTTCCCAGGCGAGGAAATCGCAAAGCGTTCTAAAGAGCTGCTGGTGGCTCGGATCCCAAAACATCCAATTTAAAGGGTCGTTTGCGGTCCGCTCTTAAAAACAAACTTGTCTGCAAGCCCCAGAGGTCTGGCAGAGTGACTGACTGTCTGGATCTGAAATACATTTGCTAGACTTCATCTTCCCTGTAGACGTTTAGGTGTGTGGATGAACTGCTGCTTGATGATGTTACATGGAATGGGTGACGTTGCTAGTTTTTAGCAGGTACACACAGTAGGATGGGGTTGATGATGTTCACGATGATAATAAAGACTTTGAAATTCCCTCGGAAATGTAGAAAGGTGTCTAAATGTCAATCAGGTTTTGTATGTTAAACAAGCCAAAGCTGTTAACCTCGTCACCAATTACCTGAAACTACAAGTTAATGTCATTACAAAGGAAGAAACTGGCAAATGATATGCAAAACGAGTGATAAGTTCCTCTCATAGATAAACAGATCTGACCTGTGGAAATCACCCCCTCAGGACAGATTTGACCTTTGCTTAGGTGCATTCAGACCACCTTCAATACTTTAAATGTGTATGTGTGTGTATACACACACACACACACACACACACACACACACACACACACACACACATACAGCCATACATACACACCAATCAGCCCCTCCTTCTTAACTAATCTGACTTCCCATTACTCCTGGTGTCAGTTCACTTGACCTAACAAAAAAAGGCCAAGTTAGCACCTTATTAGCTTTGGAGATGTTTGTCGTGAGGATTGCTAATTACTGGATGCAGCCTGGGGCAGTCTGTGTGCAGTGTGTATGTGCATATGTGTGTGTGTTTGAGTGTGTTCGTATGTGTGCTTATTTGTTGAATGTTTGGCTGACTGTTTGGACTGGCCCGAATAATTTTAGTACTTGAGTATTCATTTATGTTTGTATTAGTTTCTTAATTTAGTATTGGGAAGGATTTTATTACCTTTTAGACCCAACACAATTCTATAACACTCTAGTGCAGGAGTATTGCAACTGAAAATTGCAAAGGCCTGGTTACATCAGATCTCCTTATCTGACATAACATTAAAGCATACCTGTGTCTCTGTATCTTTAAGGCAGCCATTGTAAAATTTGAGATGTAGAAATGGTTAAAAAGATTTATTACAAATGGAAAACAGGGATATTTTCATTTAAAAAAACAAACACATATACTTAATTATGGTTAATTGATTGATGTTGTTTTTAATGGTAGTATTAAGAACAGGTATTTAAGTGCTTATTTGGAAACACTGACTGTTCAATGCCTGTAAATGCTAAAGCCAGCCACACTAACCGTAATGTAATTCTGTATATTTAGCAAGATAGGTTTTTAAATGACTACGAAGATTAGAAACTTCATCTATATCTGATCTGCCACACACACACCCACACACTTAGACACCCCCCTATTTCCGGTGGCCACTCCTCTGCCATTAGTCCTCATTAGGGTTTGGTGTTTGATGTTGCTGCAGGCCCTGAGGAGAGCGGAAACGCAGTGCTCTGTGATTACAGAGCAACAGACGACCTTTTCCTTAACACTCAGCACCTTCTGCTTCATGACCTATCGGACCACTGAGCAGGATCACTATTTAGACCACTGCAAAAGAGTTAGACAAGGTTCCACAAATAATTGCAAATGTACTGTGAAGCTTAGGGTCCTGCAGGTGCCATATTTAAGCATAACATGTAATCTCACCAGTTTGGACATGTAGTGCAGGGCTACAGCCGGTGGAACACGTTTGAAAGATCTAAAACAGCAATCTTAGTTTACAGGGCCCTCTCTAAGTGGAATCTCTTTAAGGCGGTGGCAGTGACTGAGTTTGGATGGTTTTGGTGAGGGTGATGCGGAGCAGATGACGAATGACGTCTCTGTTTCTGAACAGGTGGGAGGCTCATAAAATGCATATCATCTGCTGTCTGGTGGTTGCAACACTCTGGGCTAATTGAAAGCCACATTCTGAAGTTTGTGCAACTGGCAAGCCTTTTTTAAAACTTTGAAACAACATCATTGTCTTCACTAAAAGATACTGTCTTAGGCTTGTCTTAAAAACTCACAGCTAGTCCTGGGCACTTACTGCTTAAACTATTTAAACTGCTTCATTTTAAATAGCAAAGTTCCTTGATTAACAACTTGCACTGCATTCATGACTCTTTTTGTTTAGTTAAAATGAGCTAAAGTAACAGTTTTTGGCAGTCTAAAATAGTGCCTCAGTGTGTGACTGAACAAATGGATTAAGTCAAGTAGTTCCTGTTGGTGTCTTGGTTAACAACTAACCGAGGTTACTTAACAACTACCAGTTTAGCAACAAAACGTAGCATTCAATTACTGCAAACATATAAGATTGACTTTACCTAGATGACCTGTTTTTCCACTTTTGTATTTGGTCACTGCACTTCAAAGTCCACCTAACCTTGTTAGTTAATGTGCCTTGCGCATGCTTTACCATTTAAAACACAAAATTCTTGTTTTTTCTTAATCTTTGATCAAACGGTAATGATTGTTGTCATTGTTATATTATTAACCAGTAACCTTGTTTTTTTTCAACAAACATTCAACAAACACTCAGCTAGCTTTGATACTAGGCTTCTGAGATTGTGTGCAATGTGTGTTTCCTGACGAAAAACATTCAGTGCTTGAAAGGCTGCTGCGCAGCTTTATCTGTGTAGCAAACATGACCACAATGTAAAAAATAGTGCTGCCTTGCGCTGCTGTAGAATGTTCTGAAGCCAGTCAGTGGACTGTTTTAGGAGAAGAACTAGACGTGAAAAGAAAAGGTATAGATTACAAGACACACATGCTTTTCTTGGTGCATCCTAAAGCTGTGGATGGTGCGTTTTCTAGGGATGTGCATGCCGATTTGATATTTTAATATTCATGAGAGTTCATTAACGGATATCCAGTTAACTGTAGGGAAGAGAAAACAGTGCCAAATAAATGGATTGAGAGATAGATAGATAAATAACCTTAGCTGAAAATAATCTAAAGGCCATAGACTCACTTTTAGTTTATGAACTGGTGTTGCACAAAATATGGCCAAGCGCAGAGAAATACTGTTGAAAACATCACTAATTCTTCAAAATAGTAATGTTTTTGTATTTGATGTGTAACGCAGGCTGCCTCTTTGGGTAAGTTAATGACTTACCCAACTCACTGTGTTTTCTTCTCAGTGGACAAAGTGCCAAGATGTTATTTAACATCAGTTAGAGTAGCTAGCCTAGTTAGTTTTACAGTTAGCACTATCTCTCACTCGTGTTTCATAGTAGCAAAGTATAACATACTTGGTCGCAAATGTGAGCAAAATTGTGGTGTTTTACTGAATTGTTGGCCTACATCGATGTGCCAAAAGTCATGGGACCGCAGTATGTAAATTGATTATGAAGTGATGTTACTTCAGCGGACGGCTTGGGAACACTCACACCTGTATAAGCTGTGAGGTGTTATTTTGTGAGTGAGGTTGAACACTGGCTCGCGTGCTCATGGCAAGATGACGTGAATTATCGAAGTTTGAACGAGGCATGATAGTGGATGCCAGACGGATGGAACATTCCATTTTCTAAGTTGTGTGGGCGTTTAACATTCCTCGATCCACAGTGTTATGTGTGTGCCGGGAATATATCATAGAAGGCATTACCACCCACAGTGGACAGCGCAGTGAGTGATGGTACCAATTATTTTGGGCTGATAGTAGGGTTCATGTGTGGTGCAGACCCCATGGACCAGTACACCCCAAAGGCACTGTGCAGGCTGGTGGTGGTTCCGTACTGGTGTGAGGTGTGTTCTCATGGCATTGGTTGGGTCCACTGGTTCACCTAAACATGTCATTGACTGGTGACCGCAATGTTTCACTGCTTGGTGACCATTTGCCGTCCTTCGTGGACTTCATGTACCCCCACAATGATGGAATATTTCTGCAGGATAATACACCATGCCATCTGGCCCAAGTTGTCCAGAACTGGTTCTTCGAGCATTCTTGAGAGTTCTGACAAATGGTGTGGCCTGCACTTTGCCCAACATGAGCCCAATCAAGCATTTATGGGATGTGGTGGAGAGGTCCATTCACACCTGAGATCCTGCACCTATAAATACCACGGAGCTGTGGGTGGCTATCTAGACGGTATGGCTCAACATCCCTCCTGAATTGATGCCATGTCGAGTTCTTTCACTTTGCCAGCCTAGAGGGGGTCCTGCACAATACTAGTTCCTGTCCCATGATCTTTGGCATATCAGTGTATATATCTTCCCTTGATGAGATGTAATATATACCCAAATCCCTAGCCTTCTCAGACATTTAAATCGCTCACCTGGATAGCCATTGCAGTTGACACAATCTATCTGTAATTCCCAATACTGTCGACAGTCAGATCAAACATATTAGATACCCACCCCAATTCTATGTTTTACTCAGAAACATGCACAGCGTGGAAGAAAAATGCCTTGTATTGTCCAATTAATGATGACTTTAACATTTTCTCAAGATATACACAGGCAAAGAATCATAAATCAGCTTGAGCATGATGGTAATGATTTGGGTCAATGATTCAGGTTTTGGAAATAAACAGTCACTTAGGCTTGAAAGTTGTCCTCTCAGTTATTACTTCCAAAAGAAAGCCTACATGAATTGGCATTCAGCGGTGTCAAAGAGGACATACTGACGTGTCTTGGCTGTGTGTGTGCGTTGAGGATGGACGATTACATCAAATGCTGGCGTGCTAGTGATTAAGTGTTGTCCCGTGGCATCTGTAATCAGCGTCTGGCGCAGATTAAAAAGCTGGCTGCACACTCTGCCTATCAGCTGTCTCTGCTCCACAGCTGTCCTCTCCCAAGAAAAAAAAAAGCTTTATAATGACTACACCACACCGGGCCTCCATGGCCAATAGCCAGCACTGTGAGAGCATATGTGTGTGCATTTGTCCTTTAATTTGATACCTTTTGATCTGCGACACACGCATCAGTCTTTAAAGAGGAAAAAGAGGATTATTCCTTTCTCAGAAGAGGGAAAGACAATGATAATGATTTGTTTCTCCCTCCCTCCATCCTCAGCCAACAGTCTGTTAAAAGGTTTGCTTCCCTGCATGTTTAAGATGTCTCTGTGCAAAAGATGGATAATGTTTTGGTTTAGTAAAACAAGTTAAAGCATTAGGACTTGAGTTGCCTCACGGTAATCGATTCTCATGCTCTTTCTTTTTCAATCCCCTGATCTTGTTAGAAAAACAAGGCTCTGTCCATCACCCTGCAATCAGTGGATTCCAGGCTATATAGCATGTATGGACAGGCTATTGCTTGTGTAATACACAGCGTGTGTGTGTGTGTGCACGCATGCTTGTGTGTGTCAGCCTTGCCACATGTGTAACAATACACAAATGTACAGATTTGATATGATTTTTTTTATGTCAAGATGTTATTTGATTTTTGTTATTTTAAAAATGTATTGACCCTTCAGAGCCTTAATTTAGGCATGAGCCAGTTGACAATAGTATCATCAGTCACCAATAGTTTGCACCTGTTGTGATAGTCAATCTAGTTGGACGATTTAACTGTCAAAAAACACAAAGCCCACAGCTTTGAGATGCATAAAAGTAATTATAGTTGTCTCGCAGCCTGTTTTCATGTAATGCTTGTCTGTGTACTGAATCAGCCATAATGTGTTGTCTGACTTTAGAACATTCTATAGCAGTGCAAAGTAGATCTTTTTCCTTACTCATGGTCATGCTTGTTAAACTGGTAAAGCCATGAACAGGGATCATGCATGAGGGTTTAAAAGATTTTTGTGTACCCCGCCATATTTACATTAGTTACTAAAAACTAAAAGGACAACACAAAGCCACAGAAACAACAGCCTTTAAGCCACTTCACATGGTTAAGCGTAAGTCGTTTTATTATAGAAAATTTATAGCAAGAACTTGAAAGCTATACCAAGAACTACTAAACCATAGCAAGAACAAAGTTAGCTTACAAGTTTCTTAACAGAAAGCATGTATATTTTCTCCAGTTTAAGCAGGCATGGCAGGTAATGTTATCACATAAACTGCTGTGCTGAAACCGGTTACTATAGAAAGGTGTGGATATCCATTATGAAGATCCTCAGTCAGAACACAAGGAGCAGCCTGCAGTCTCCGTTTATAGTTTTTTTTTTTCTGAGCACTCTGAAAACGCACTCAGACGGTGTGCTGGTGACATAGGAAAGCAGGGTTTTTTTGTTTGTTTGTTTTATAAACTAATTAATTATTTATTTTTATTTTTTAAATAGCCCGTCTGCCCTTGCCCCTCACAACCCACAGTAATACTGTCAGTCGGCAATGGCTAGGGGGGCACGATCGGATGATATTTTGCACACAGTTTCACAAGGTCACAATCCCTAGAATTTAAAAGCTTTTTAGAATAAAAGCACTGTTGGAGCACGGATGTGTACATATTTTAAGTCCTCTCGCCACCCACTTTACTCTGATAGGGTGCACCCAGACGCCTAGGTTTCCTCATTGACAGTGGTTTCCACAAAGGTTGGTGAATGAGAGATGCTTGAAAGGGGGAGGGATAATTTGGACATATAGTTTTAAATTCCGATACACTGTTTCAAATTTGCTTTTTCAATACACATTGAAATTCTTATACCCTTAATGCAGGTTATATGTCAGCTTGTTTGTATAAGCTGGGCAATATAGCATTGTATTATTAAAAATATTTAGCCCAATTATAGTCTTAGAACCTGTAAATAACAAAAATAAAATACTCACTGTTGTCATAGTTTTCCCTAGCCTTTTTTAAATGTTGGACTATTTTTACTATTTTTTGTCTGTTCCAACCTGAGGAAAATTATAAAAAATTATAGTGTCATATATCATGAAGATGCCTTCAAGTATTGTGATCTTATATTTTTCCCATATTGCCCACCATTTGACAGATAGACTTGAACACGTTGATCCCATCAGATGCTCTGAATTACTTCTTTCTTGGTAGTAGTAGTAAGTGCAGTAGACTGATATGTAATATTGATGGTCTCTGTTTCTGTCCAGTTATATTTCTGTTGATTATGTGAGTCTTGACCTCTTTCACACACTGGGGCGTTGGGAAACAAGGATGTCGACGTTGAAAAACAACCTCTTTATTCCTCCTCTTGGCAAAGAGTCCCTTCCTCTCTGCGCCACTGAACGGTTTGGGCTTGTCCTCTCCTGCTTGGAAGCAATAAAAGGATAATTTGTACCCCGCCATATTTATCAGAAGGTGCTGTCATGTCATTAGTGGAGAATTCGGTGCCCCTTTTTTTGCTTTAATCCAACTCCAGTTCCCTTGCTGGGTCTGACTGGGCCATTAGTTAATACAACTGAATAGGACACAGTGCTTTTAGGCTTCAGCGACTGATTCTTGGCACCGCCACACACAGAATCTCTACTAGGAGGTTTTCTCAACATAAATCAGGAATCAAGTTGTTGAGAACAGGACTGGTAATTGGTGTCACATTGGCGTTTTTCCTTTGCCAGCATTTTTAATCACTATTTTGTGCATGATAACTTTGTGACTGTTAGTTATCACTGGTAAATTCATTCTGAGCTGCTGAATTAGCAATTAAACCTAAAATTGGAGTTAAGATTTGAATTGACATAGTTATAGGGTTATTTCAAGTGATGAAGTGGCTCATTAGCTTAAAAAACTCCTTTTTTAAGTGTTTATTCAACGGAGCAAGAAAGCAACCCAAAGACAGTTCCCAAAATGAGGTCGATCTGGACATGGACCATCATTGCATTGTTTACTTTTCATCAGAACTGCAGTGAGACTGAACTATTGTTATTTTTATTTGCAGGTTCCAGCAAAAGAGAAAGACAAAGCCGGAGCAGGGCCTTCTGGAAAATCTCCCAGCAAACCCAGTATAAGTGAGGTCAAGAACAGACTAGCAACAGCAGCTAAAGAGGTGTGCAAATACACCCATTCATACTCCACTTCCACTGACTCTGTTCTGGCAGCATTCACCTGTAATTAAGACAAGTTAACAATGACTGTTTCCCCCGAAGCTGTTTATTTCCCCTGAAAAAGTGCTACTCAAAGATAACTGGTGTTTTTTCTGATAGTAGCTTTAGATGCTACTAGATCCTTTAAAATTTAGAATGCTTTTACTGTGTTACTGTTTTGACTTGATTTTTCAACTCCTTGTTCTTATGGAACTCCACCTCTTAGCAAAATGTCCAGATAGTGTAACATAGTTGTCCACAATTTATGGACAGCTGTTAAAATAGTCAAGAGCAGAGTTGTAAAGCCCTTTTTGCCATTCTACTTTAGTAGATTTATCCAGATAAAGAATAGAAACTAAAGCCTTGCCAATTGATGTTGCAGCTTGTTTATAACTGCTACAGGGAGACACTGTTTGAAATCTGGCCAATAGGAAGTGAGACATAGTTCTAGTATTAGTATTCCTAAATATGAGTTATTGGTAAAACATTTACTCATCAGACATTTTTAACTATCTGCATAATTGCTGCTACGTGTCACAAGGACATGCAGGCAGTTGCAGCTATTTTCATGTGGTTTGGTAATTAAGCATTTTGTCAGCCAATTGCATTACACATCTGATCCAATTGCATTACTCATCTCACTTTTACTTAGTTGTGCTCGCACAATAGGGTGTTGCAAAATGGTTTAGAGGCAGTGCAAAGTACTGTTCATGCCAGAGGAGAGTAAAATGCTTGTTTGCAAGGTGACAAACAGTATAATAGAAAAAGTAATTATGTAAGTAGGGCTGGCCAAACAGCATTTTACAGGCTTTGAATACCGTTGATATGTCTGAACGAGTACTCAAGTACTCACTCTCAAAATAACCCTTAAAAACAGTTATATTTGTAGTAGTTTTTAAACTGTCCACCTGAAGGAAAAGCATAATACAATATATTTAACAAATATTTTGCTGAAACCTAATGATCTTTTTGGTGTTATAGTTGCAGAGCAGCTCCTGCGCTGTACTTATGGTCTGTGGAGGCTGTTCTTCTATGATACACCAATAAAAACTTGTAATTTGTTATTGTAAACTTGTGATTTGTTATTGCGATTTTGTCAAAATAAACAGATCTGCTGTTTCTGCTGTCAAGTTTTAAACCGGCTATAAAATTAAAGAAGAAAAGGGAGAAAAAATTATGGCTTTGATGCATTGCAGTACTTGGATCGGGATAAATGTGCTTACATTTGGGAGGATTCATTAAACTTGTTGTGTCTCCACGGTGTTCCCACCTCTTAAACTCTTGTTGAGGTGAGGTGAAGTAGATGCCTGACATGAATTTACGATGAATTCTAAACTAAACTAGGAAAATAAATAAATAAATAAATAAATAAATAAATAAATGAATGAACATCTAATGCCTTTTCTGATTTTAAAAGACAAAGCTTCAGAATGCTAAATCGAGAAATAAGTCCCAACCTAGCAAAGTAGTACTGAAGCATTCAGATTATTCAGGCTGGCCCTACATGTAAGAGATATATAGTTTGTATATAATATGTTTAATTTTCAAGAGCGTAAAGGTCAGTCGCTGTAGGGAGGCTATAACAGCGAAGTAAAATAGAACTCGTTCTTGAAATACGACTGAACACGTCAAAACATTTAGCATAAGCTTTATTATATATCATTCTTCTCATCTTTTAAGGTTTTCTCTCACTGTAGAGACCTTTCTTCATCTCAGTATATTCCACAGTATTTCTAACACATCTTGCCATGCACTGGGGTCTGATTTGGATTTGCTGGAAAAAGATTAGCTCTCCAGAAGTGTTAGCTAATGTCAATAGAGCTTCTCATTAGCCTGAGCCAGGCTCGTGCTCATGCTGTTCAGATTGCATCATTTTATCAGGCCTGCTTCGGGATTAGCCAGCGTGGGTCAGCCAGCTCACTTCCTCAATCAACCCACCACACACTGATCAGCGCTGACCTCCACTGACCACTTACCACATGCAGTATTCACATGGAGCTGGGCATTGACGCCCCTGGCCAAATGGTCTCTATAGAGGATGAAAGTGATGGTGACGATGACAGCTGCGCACAGAGATCCTTGTAATCATGGTAATCATCCTCACCATCACCTTGATCCTCTAGAGTCCGGCTGATTTGTTAGGCATTACAGAATCCTGACTCTGAAATACTGCACTGATTTTATCTACCAGCAGTACGCTACTCTGGAGAATATCAGAACTTGAACTGATTATTAGAAAATGTGCTCATTCAACCCTTACCTATTATTCTGTGCACATTTTCTGTACATCATAACAGCAATAAACAATGAAGATGTTTGGATTAGGAATACAGCATTAGATTGAGTTGATGTAAGCGAATGTAGATATGGATGTTTTAAATCGTTTGCGTCAGCAGTCATAGATAAGGGAAACTGAATTAGACCTTAGATACAGCAAGAATATGAACTCAGTACAAGCAGTCCAACACCCTGCAGTTGACCCTATTCATCAGCAGAGTGATGACTTGGCTGAAATTCAGCAAGATCTCAAAGCTCAGCGGAGGTACAGAGGTGTTGAAAATTAAACATTTAGTTTTGTTGTTTTTTTTTCTGAACAGGGTAAGCCGTTTCCAAAGACGGAACAGAAGTTTGAGAACTACGCCAAAAGCTGTTTTAAGATATCAGATAAACAAGTGAGTATCATTGTCCTCATACGTTCTTCTGATTGTCCTGTTCCTAAGCACATAGTGAAGTAAAACATATGTATGCCTCTTACAGCTTCGGCATTAATCGTTCATCAGTGTCGTAAAGATGTCTGTATTTAAGAAATGACCGAACTTCTACACTAAAGATGAGTAGGCTCTCAAACACAAAAGTGCAACAAGTGCATTAGCATCTTGACTTTTTACAGTCAGTGGGGCCACGCGCTAAAGAGCGTCTGACAGGGCCCGTTCCTCCCTCCGTCTGTCCTTTTTGTCTTTTCATTTCTCTAGAGCAGCTCACTGCCTGTGAAGCAGTGGATGAAATATGCTCAAGGCTGCCCCTCTCACAGCACAGAGAGAAGGGAGGAGGGAACTGCCAAGGCTAACATCTCTACTTATGATTTAGTGGCCCCTCTCTCTCTTTCTCTTTTTCTCTCTTCCTCACTGTCTCTCTCTCTCTGTTCTCTGTAAAGTGTTTCTTGCGCTCCCTAATGAAGGCATTGGATGGAGGTATGCTGTTGGTACCAGGCACTTCAGCAGCTTCAAGGCCTCACCGACTTACTGCTAGATCAGAGATAATCAGTATTTGGATGGGCTTTCCCACTTCAGGAAAAAAAAAATGAAGATGAGTTTCTTTAGTGCAGACTGCAGCACTGTATCATGCTAGCAGCTAAACCTAAACTAAAACCTTCCACAGGTTTTTTTTTTTCCCTCCAAAAAATTGTATATCTTGGCAAAGTGATGGTTAGTTGCCCAGTGCTCATTTACAAGTAATAATGCATGGTTATGCATAGTTTTTATGTCACTTTTTGCAGTATACAAAAGAAAGGATTTCCAGTCAAAACAACCATTAAACACAAGTTATTCATTTTCAGGAGATAAGTTTCCAAACCTGAATTTCAAAAAATAATAAAACCAAATGGAGGAAATGGAACTCCTAAGACCTGGTAGACCAGATCAGATAAACAGTCCTTAAAGCTTTCACCTTTGACAGAATAGAGAAAATTGCTTCAGATCTTAAAAAATCCACAGGTATTTCTGTCCATCCTTCCGTTGTGAGAAGCCAACTCAGTGCTGTAGGTTTGAAAGGATATGTAGCTGTCAAGAAATCACTACTGAGAAAAGGAAACACACACAAAAAAAAAAAGATTTTGTAAAAATTAAACAAAGAAGCTGCTAGCGTTCTTATGACGATGGACTGGCCAACTCATAGCCCAGACTTCAGAATCATTGTATGTGTTTGGGGTTTCTTGACTTCTGAGAGGCAGAAAATGCAACTAACTCCTAAGACTAAACTTAAAAGTTTTGGACAAGTATTCCTCCAGATTTCTTTGAGAGACTGAAAGCCAGTCTCCTAAAAAGCATAGAATCTGTAATAAAAGCAAAGTGTGGGTGCCTTAAATACATAAAAATGTTATGTTTATTTGTTGAGTTTTCTTGTAATTTTCTGTTAAATGTATGTTTTCTGCTTTTTTCCAAGCTGTTAAAAATTTATTTTACTTCATGGTTGTTTTAACTAGATATTTACAGTTGAGAGCTAAAAGTTAAATGTAACACTTTACAGCTGACAATTAAGAATCTCATGAGTGAGTAAATCACTGTTTAATCTGTGTTTATGTTTTGACCTGTTTAAGTTTTCTGTTAGAAATTTTAGCTCCTTATTGCTGATAAAATGTTCATATTGTTCAGGCCCAGTGTTTAGGTCAAGTGTGCATGACGTCTGTTAAAAAGCTGCTTTTGTTTCCGTGGGGTGTCAGTCCTTGCTTGGACGCTGTCTTTCACAGAGTGTATCCTGGGAGTTAGAGTCAGTATGCATTTGTATGCATACATACATTGACTCAGGATGCATCTGACAGTGTGTGTGTGTGTGTGTATATGCGCGAGTGTTTGCGTGCATCTGCATCCATGTCTGTGCACATGTTCAAGGAGGGGCACACACTGAGTCAGCTCCATCTATAATGAGGTTCGTGTGAAGATGCACTGTGGCCTTTGTGTAACAGAGCATCCATTAGTGCAGCAGAACCATGTCATTCCAAACTCTGAGCAGAGCAGGTGTACTCTCTGATGGAGACCGGGTGGAGTTAGTGTGTGTGTGTGTGTGTGTGTGTGTGAGTGTGAGTGTGAGTGTGAGTGTGTGTGTGTGTGTGTGTGTGTGTGTGTGTGTGTGTGTGTATAGAACCAGCTCTGGAAGCACTTTGGTCCAGGCAGCAGGCAGAGATATGAGACATGTCTGTCAGAGAGAGGCACTAGTCATACGTTCTGGTATGTACAAGTCTCGCTCGCCCGCCTTCCTCTCTCTCTCAGCCTCTATTATCCCTCGGGCACGCGCTAATGTGGATCTTTTTAGTCAAAACCGAGTCATGCTGGTCTAATTATTAAGCAACTTAATGAGTTGCCACATGAGAGGCCCCCTTTTCCAGTCCCACTAACTCTCCTTTTTCTGTTTCTCTCTCTCTCTCTCTCTCTCTCTCTCTCTTTCTGTCTGTCCCTTTCTCCCTCCATTTTTCTCCTTGCAGGTGATCAAAGACCTTTGGAACTTTGTACAAACACTGAAAAAGTAATGGCAGCATTTGCAGCTTCCCCCCTTTTTTGCGTCCCCTCATGTACCAGAAGACTAAGGATATCCAGTGACTGTCTTCAGCTGTGAATTCTGGCTTCTTCCACTCAAATGGAATCCGTCCACTCCGCTCTGTGTGTTATAAGGCAGTTTAGAGTAGAAAAACACAGAGTAGTGACAGGGAGATCATGACCATCATTTAACCTGCTCTACAGCTGAAGAACCGCGCAGAGGTGGTCAATATGGTAAGACAGCTATAAAGAAGTAGGGGTAATTTTTAGTTGAAATGTTATAGTGGAAACGCATCTGTTTAGGTAGTTCTAGTACAAGCAGCAAATTAAGACTGACAGGCGCTGGTTTGTTTTATTTAAGGAACAGTATTTCTAAGTGCATGTCCCGCTGTATCTGAACAGGTTAGCTTTTTGCGCTACAGTACCTGCTTCTGGACAGCTTTTTTTTTTTTTACCCCATATTTCTGTTCATTTTCTGTAAATAGTGTTATTCATTTTAATGTGCAAACATGGCAGCTGAAATATTGCTGAAGATTCTGTCTGGTCGTCAGCATTCCGTCTGGCTCATAATGTTCCGTCTGACCGAGGATTCTGTCTGGCTCACAGTAGGTCTTGCAGCTATGAGGATGCCGTCTGGCTGCAGGACCATAGCTCTCTGTCTTTTACATGCTGCAAGTGAATGGAAATGATGGCCTCTCTCTTTGCCTAGGCACTGGAGTCATATAGTGTGATCATTTAAGTGGTTACCCATGGTCCTATTGCCAGAAAATGACAGTGAAAGATGGTCACTGGCTTAAATTTTTCCTAGAATGCTTTGACTTACAGCGTTATAGCTAATGTGTGTGTTTTCGTCAGTTATTTTAATATTTCATTTTATTAATGCACTCATACATTTTTTTTGGTAACTGTGTTATAATTGAAACGTTTAATACATATATATTGTAATTCCTTAATCTTTTACAGATCCTAATTGTATTTGCTTTATGTTGTGATACTTACTCATGTGAGTGAAACTTCAAAAGGGATTTTAAACAGGACCGCTCTTTTCCTTTGAGTGTTTTAAGGGGGGGGATATCATATACTCCAGAAGCGTCTTGAGAAAAAGTAAGTACCCAGGTGTAGCTATTGAGTCTAGCTATTGAATCAGGCCTAGTGTTTCTAATCATGGAGCTATGTAGTGGGGTAGATCATTTCTAATACATTACCTGATGAGTTCACATTGCTCTCACGAATGTGCACATGCACACATACACCTAAACACCTGGACAGAATCTTTCTGGCTGAGTCCAGGTGCATGTTGCCTAAGAGATGGCCTAAGCAAGTTCCACTCATGACTGACTGCTGTCTCTGATCTGTCTGAATGAATGCCAGTACTTTGAAACTGTTCTCAGAATCTTCTACAGTCCTCCATGTTTGAGTTTGTCGAGTGATAGATAGTTAATTTCTTTGGAAATACTGTATTTTGCAACAGCTGAAGCTGTTCAACATATCCATGCCTGTTTTTTATATATACATATGTATTTCCCTGGAATGAAAGGAATAAAATGAAACTGATCCAGACTCTGTGCCATGCCCTGTCTTCACCATGTGGACCTTGCACAAAGCAGGGTTTTATGGGGCAGGCGCAGCTACTGCACCACAGCAGACTTTCTCTGCACTGGCACCTGGCTCGCGCCATGTGCATCACATACAACAGACACCCTCTTTCAGGATGACGATGATGGATCCAGATTGGGATGAAGATTACTTCCTTAATGTGCTAAAAACCCCTTTTACTTACACTTGCCTAAATATACATTTCATTACTCAGATGAAGCCATGAAAGTGCTGTGTATACCATGCTATAATGCAGCCTGCCTGAGTTATGTTATGGCTGGCGTATGTTTTTATTGCATAATTTTTCATGTGCGTTTGCAGAGATTCATAAACAAAGGTGAAGAGAGCAACTCTTGTTCATCTGTTGAAGGTCTTAGGAAAAATGGTCTGCCTAAAACTCAGTTCAGCAGTGAGTGAACATGCTTCTTTAAAGGGGTGTTCTACCAATGTTTCTAAATTTCTGTGTAATTCAATAGTTAAAATACGAACAGAGTCTATTTGAGTGGTATGATTGGAGTGAAATGAATTGTATAGAAACTAGCCAACTCAGATTTCTTTACAGTGGTGGTGATAGGAACCAGAGGTCACAATGTTCACAACACTGTTTCAGTGGTTGTGATAAGAACTGGAGGTCACAATGTTCACAGCGCCTTTATATTGGTGATAGGAACCAGCAGTCAGGAGGTCTGCAGCGCTAATATAGACATTTTATTTACTATCCAAAATGACCAGTGAACCTACAAGTCTTCTGTGTTTTATGTGTTATATTGATGTTAGTAAAATAGTAGTAAATCCAACAAAAGTTTTATTTGGGCACTATATTTCCTTAAAATGCCCTGCATGTATGACTCCACTATGAATAGCTTTTAGAACATTCATTTTAGGCCAAAACCTATTTTTTAAAACAATCATAAAACAATGTCCAGGCTCAGGCAATATATTCATAACCATTTCATGTAATAACTTTGTCAGTTAACTTTTAGTGACAAACACTTAAGACGTTTGGTTCCTATCACTGCCACTGTGAATAGTTTCTCTGGAATGGTGCAGTTCATGTAAAATCACTCCAGATGACTTCGTGTACACCTTAACAATAGAATGATGTGAGTATTTTAAAAAAGTGGTAAATTCTCCTTTTATAACACAATCCACAGTCTGGGACCTTTAATTGATCATTTTGAAAGTTGTTGAGGCTTGCAAGTGAATCTCAAATAAAACTTGTTTTGGCCTAGCTAATTGAGATGCAATACCTCATCTGGTAGTCACCACATGGTGGCGGTAATAGCTTGTAAAGGTGGTGGGCTATGATTTATGTCTCCCAATGTAGCTTAAGGACAATTAATCACCCTTTTTACCTGAATATACCTTCTGCCTCTCTCTAATATGTCTAATGTCCTGTTAACAGGGCCTACACACCCATTTCCTGTATCTCAAAGTGCAGGAAGTGAGCTCAGCAGATGGTGCCCTCGTGTGTGTGAGGACATGACTCTGTATGAGGCCGCAAGGTGTGTGGAATTTCCCCTCTTTTCTGGGACAGAGGGACTGTATAACAGGGTGCCAGGAAACATCAAAGTTGGTATAGGTCTGACTCACCTAAAGCTGCAGGTTAGCACTTTATAGTACTTTCTAAAGTCATACTATCTTGTTCATGTGTCTGGTAACTGTTGTGTAAATGACATTGGTGGTACCAGATCATTACTTTAGAACACTTGAAGCTGCAACAGTTGTACTGACCAAATACATAAGAAGGATGCATATTCCAGACTACAAGTACAGCAAGCACTCATACAGTGTTAGAAGCAATAATAATAATAATTGCATTTGTTTAGTACTTTTCATGCTGGTCGGCAGCTCTTTACAGACAGGTTATAACAATACAAGAAATTATAAGTATTAATGTAGAATCATATAAGAAAATGACAGATCAAATTAAAAGATAAATACCAAGAGATGTAGAGTGTTAATTAATGGCTAGGTTAAAGAGATGTTTTTAGATGCTTCTTAAAAGTGAGCACTGAGCTTGACTGTCTAATAAAAGGTGTAATTGAGTTTCACAGTTTACAAACATAATAACTAAACAAGGCCTCTCCATGTTTTCTGTATTTTACTGTAGGTGTTTGCAGAAAGCCAGTATGTGCAGATCTAAGATCACGTGTTGGAACATAAACATAGAAACACCCTGTGATGTAAGCGGGTGCTAGGTCATTTAGAGCCTTAAAAACTAGTAGCAGAACTTTACAATCTTTCCTGAACATTACAGGTAGCCAGTGCAGTTCTTTCAAAATGGAAGTGAAAAGATCTCTCTTTTTTTGTTTTTGTTAGGACGCGTGCTGACGCATTTTGTACAAGTTGTAAAGGATGTAATGTTTTCTTAGGAAGTCCAGTAAGAAGAGCTACAGTAATCAAGTCTGCTTGTAACAAATGCGTGAACAAGTTTCTCTGCGTCACTCCGAGATAGAAAAGGCCAAACTTTAGCAATATTTCTCAAATGATAAAAAGCTACTTTAGTGTCTGTGTTTACATTACGGATAAAAAAGAGCTTAGAATCTAAGATCACACCCAGGTTTCCTACTTCAGGTTTGGAGCTAAAGAACCAAGTTTCTTATAAAGCAGCTTTCTCTGAGTTTATGTACCAACGATCAGTATTTCCATTTTTTCTTGATTAGTTGTAGAAAATTTTGTGACATCCCTGAGAAATATCTGACACACATTTGGTCAGTCTGTCCACAGCGTCTGAATCATCAGAAGGAATGGAAATGTATAAGTGGGTGTCATCAGCATAGCTATGAGAATTTATATTATGTTTCCTAATGACATCACCTAGAGGCAGCATGTACAAAGAGAAAAGCAAAGGCCCTAAAACTGAACCTTGAGGGACTCCACAAGAAATGCCATATCTTTTAAATTGAAACCATGAACTGCCATGAAGCAAGTCTATTTGAGATTGCTTAATAGCTCCACATTTATGCATTTGGCAGATGCTCCAGAGTGACTTAAAGTTTGTCCGGAAGGCAATTTTAGCATTAGGAGTCTTACTTAAGGACTCTTATTGGTATAGTGTGGTGTTTTTGCCAGGGCAGAAAATCAAACCCTAGTCTTCTGTATGGCAGGGAGTGGTTTTGCCCACTATGCTATATGAAACACAACATAGTTTGAGGTTAAATGTTTGTTGACTCAGGCATGTTGTTTACATTATGTTAATGGATGGTAAATAGCCTCCATTATTTGTTATCCACATCAGCATTGTGGCTTCAGTGCAAAACTAAAGAAACAAACTTTGATACAAGTCTTGGCTTATCGACTACATATGAAGTAAGTATGTTTGAGTTTTCCCTTGAGCTATCACATTAAAGTCAGACAGCAAAGAATTTAAGGTTAGTTGGCTTCCATCACTGACCCATATCTCTGCTAGTATTACAGAAGCATAAGAGGGACATTGAGTCCCTGGGCTCTAACCTACTGCCTGGCTACAGACAGGTAATGGGTGAAATGCAAGCTATGTGTAGCAATGAGAGACAGGCTCAAAAGCTGGGCACGGAAATGACTGGAAAGCCCAAGAGGCCTTCAGCGCATTAGATACAGTTTAGTTTCGCAGATACTCTCTCTTCGACTATATTATGGCTCAGTAGGTAGTGTTATGACCCCGTTATTCCCTAAATCAACATAATCTCAGTAGTGGTAGTGTACAGAATTTAGAATTTAGTCTGAGGAAAAGAGTTTGATAGCAGTTTGACATTGAGATAATGCAAAAGACATTGGATATACAGGGCTGTGCAAAAGTCAGAGACCACCTTCATTAATTTTATTTCTAGTTAAAACTGCCATTAAGTGGAAGTTTTATTTTTTAATTTTACTTTCCATTGAAAGGGAAAAAAATAGAAAATATATATTTAATCCAAGTAATTGCAAACACATTCAGTGATGTTGAGGTCTAGACTCCAGTGGTCAGTCCATTGTTCTGAGAACATCATTAGCTTTTTTGTTTGATTTGGAAATATTCTTTTTTGTCTATTTTGTTTTCTCAGCAAAGGCATTATGACATTTGCACATTCTTTCACACTCTGTGTTTTCTTTCAGTGAGAGGATGGACAGAAAGGCAGGGACACAGGAAGTTGAGGGTGCTGAAATTTTGAGCAGCGTATATGTGAAGTGACCGATGACATCACACAAAATGATTTGCCTTTATTTATTTATTTAGCTATTTTTTTTACCAAACAGAGCGTGTCATGCAGTGCTACAATGAAGCGAGAGATAACAGTATATAAATACAACTGACACATCAAACCACTGACTCACATCATCGCTCTGCTCTCTCATTCTGAATGAACTTTAGCGGGCAATCAGATTGTTGATATGTGGCGCTGTAATCGTTTGTGTTACACCAACAAGCACATGGTGAGATTTAACACTGAAATGCACACTGAGCATGGAGATATAACGGTTGATAAAACATTATAACCAAAGATGATTATTTTTAAGTTAAAAAAACAATGTTAGGCCTCTTTGGGGCTTAAACTCTGCATAGACTTTCTCTCTTTGAACCTCAGCCTGTGTATGTTTGAGCGACGCAGCCCCAAAGCAGCCAGTTTTTGGCTCACTGTAATGAAAATACGGCATTCGTTTAAACAGTGCAGCTACTGCAAATTTAGAAAATGTAAACATACAAATTCTGCTGTAAAGCAAGTACACATGAGTCTTTCCTGTGCTCAAATTATTGTAAAGTTCAGAACGTTTTATTAATTTTGTTATTGTTAAGAGTGGCAGTGCTGAAATCAGGGAGTGCTGCAGCCCCCTCAGCACTCACACTTTCCGTGTCCCTGCAGAAAGGATAGATTTTTCTCAGATCTGTAGTAAGAGTGAAGCTTGATATTCTCCTGCCTCAAAAATGAAAGTTTATAGTGACAACTTTGGTGGTCTACAAGGTCTTGCACAGTTGTTAGGAGTCCAGTTTTCTCAAAATGTTA